AAAGCCCAGCTAGACTGCCCTAGGGTGAAGCTCACGACTGGCAAACCTCACCAGTCACACAACTTTCACCTCGTTAGAACCCACTCTTCTGTAGGAGTGGACATCGCGGAAATCCCGAGGCAACCCTGCGAGCTGAAGAAACGGAAAGAAGCAAATTGGATGACATAGAGACTATGCTATGGAAATATTTCCAACTGTGACCGTTTTAACATGTGAAAATTAATCGTTGCTTTTACAGAGAAAGCTTTCTGAAAAGGAGAACAGTGACCTTGGAGTCTATGATTTGTGTATCTCCAATTACGTGTATCTATAAGATGATGTGTGTGTGTGTACAAAAATACTTATATACAAATACATATATAGATGACTATCTTATTTGTAGATGTGCAAAAGAACTTGTTGCAGTCTTGAAGCAAGAGAACAGGAGAATACAAATTTGTATATGTATAAACAAATATATGTGTGAAAAATGGAGAAAACACAGGTAAAAGTGTTTTCCTGCATACTGGGAATCTGGAGGCAGGAATCTTGTCCAGGGGCACCTAGCCCTAACCTTTCTTTTCTCCTCCAGTTGCAAGTAGGGCCTTGTTGGTTCCAAGTTTGTCTCAAGAATCAAAACAGCCAGATGTGTGTCCCCATTCCTGTATAGGGTGGTCAATTCTTTTTGCATAATGATGTAAATCTCCAGGTATAATAGGGAACTAAGCTTCTTAGATCTGGAAAGATTCTGATGTTATGTGGGCACCATCACTGGCAGTTGCCAAGTCCCCATAATACAAAAAGAAACTAAGCTGAGACACACAGCATCTGTCTCGCTTCGTGTGGCCACTTTGCTTACAAAAGGATCTGATCTGTTAGCCAATCCCATCAGGAATTTAACTTTCAATTGGGTGTATGATTCTGCATTGTGATCCACCAGAAACCCAGACTTGGGGTTGATGGAAAAATACCTTCCTCCACCCCAGCTAAGTTTGGGACACGGCACCAGGAGGCAGAAGGAGCGCCTGGTGGCCTGGAGAGCAGCCCGCAATGTGAGATCTGTGGGGGTGTTGTAACAGTGGGGTCACCGGGGAACTCTCAGAGGGAGTTGGTAAGCTCCACGAGAGCCCAGATTTTGGGTTTGTCTAGGTCTTCACACCTGGAATGATAAAGTGGGGGAGCAGGATCTCCTGAGAGCGCCCTTGAGCCCCCTGACTGTCGACGACTTGCTGGACAGAGAGGAAGGCTCCCGAGGCTGCAGATGTGCTTGTGAGTGGAGCGGAGACAGGCACCAGCTGCCGTTGACCCAGCTCTCTTGTGAAATTGCTAAGACAAGCAGTAGGATGCTGCTTAACTGTAGCACTTGACTGTAACTGTTTTAACATGCAAAAAGTTAATCTTTGCTTTTACAGAGAAAGCTTTCTGAAAAGGAGAACCGTGACCTTGGCGCTCTATCGTTTGCGAAAATGGAGCTTTTCTTTTTTCTTTTTTTGTAAATAGTGTTCAGAAGCCATGGGAAAATGACTCAGTGGAAGAGTAAATGGACTGAATTGGAATAATCTTGAGACAAATGAACTAAAGTGCTAAATAACTGACTTCTAGGTTTCAGGTACAATTTGGTCTGGGAGAAGAGCGTTTTGTGGGACTGCGGCCAACAGAGATAAAAGGAGAGGAGTTATCACCCACGGAGTCTCAGAGTCTAGAAGTCTCAGGAAAAATTTTCTTGTGAATTCCACTTTAGAATATTGTCTTGAGGCCAAGGCATTAGGGGCTTCTGAGAGAGCCAGGGCCCAGCCAGGCGGGAGAGGCTGAGAGAGGTGGTAGGAGAAATGGGATGAAGCCAGAGGAGAGCTGGGGAGACTGTACCCCAAGGCTCCAGCAGGCAGGAAGGATGCCAGAGGAAGGAGGGGCAGGAATGCAGGGGGGAGCTGGGAGACTTAGAGGAGGAGCTGTTAAGAAAGTGCAAGCGAGGTGAGGCTGCCCCAACACAGCCAAGAGCAGTCCTGCTCCCCTGACTCCTCCTCTGGAGGCTGACAGTCTTTCATGGAATTAACCACAGAATGGAGTGGGCAAGGCGGGAGCCTGGGCTGAGTGCACAGGGCCGGCCCCCGGGGGCCACACCTTCATCCAGCGTCCACAGGACTGGAAAAAGAACACCTCTCAGATCTCAACACTAAATAGTTTTCTGATAGTGCTTCGTTAGATTTTCTGACATGTTTAACCAGCCTTTAAAAAAGTTAGACTAATAAACTGCTGAAGTATTTAATATATATTTTTACCTAAAGTCTTTTACAAAATTGCAGTTCAATGTTAAAGCTGCCTGAAATGGTAGATAACTGAGCCCTAGTCAGGTGACTCAGTTGGTTGGAGTGTCGTTCTATGCACCAAAAGGTTGTGGGTTTGATTCTCGGTCAGGGCACAAACCTAGGTTGTGGGTTCTATCCCTGGTCAGGATGAGGCAACTGATCAATGTTTCTCTCTCACATCAATATTTCTCTCTCCATCTCTCTCTCCCTTCTTCTCTTGCTAAAAAAAATCGATAAAAACATATCCTTGGGTAAGGATTAAAAAATAAAGATAATTGACATGAGAAACCATGGAAATGAAGAGTTAAAGGAGAATTTTAGAACGGGACCCAAAACCATGCATGTGCTGGCATTTCTCTTCTACTACAGATGCCCTGCTGAGGTCCTAGGTGTCCTGCCCAAGCTCAGAAGGGCCCTATGCTTGGTATAATGTTCTGCTGTGGCTGTCTTACACTTCTTAATGAATTCTGAACAGGGACACTTGGAGTTTTCATTTTGCACTGCGTCCTGCCTCTGCCCCCATATTCTTCAGTGTCCTCTGAGGAGCCGTTATCTCTTTTGTCAGGTAGTGATGTTTGAGAAAGCTTGTTGAGGCGGAATGCATGAATTGCAAAGTTTGGAGCCTAATCCATGAGGCTTGATTCAGAGGTCAGTCAAGGAAAATAAAAGGTTTTAAAGTTTAGGGACAACATTAAAATTAGAAAGAGAAAACTGGGAGCTAAAAAAACAACAATAATGGACAGTTGTATCAATAAACTATCATGTCAAGCACTGCACAGATACTTAGTAGAGATCCAGGTAAATTGAAAACAACAGCATGAATTCATGACCTCTTAAGAAAACATTTTTTTTTTTTTCCCAATTTCACCACTGAAGAGGCTAAAAGTCCCTGTGTAACTCTGCTCTATCTCTGCGGCTCATGTGAAATAAAGTAATGTGCACTCAAGACCGAGATTTTGGTCTCTAATGCTAATTACTGCTTGAAATAATCAGAACCTCTTGGGGAGTAGCTAACTCCATGTCTGCAGTAGAAAGACTGAAGATGAACTTGAGGCATTTGGCAATCTTATTGCTTGCAAATTCAACAGTGTATTTGTAACTTAGCAAAGGAAGGATATTCTGCAAAAGCAGCAGGAACCATAAGAGCCAATGTGGATTTATGCTCTAAAGACAAATAACTCCCACTTCATTAAGTTCACAGTTGAGGGGAGTGATCTTGATTTTAACAAAGACCTGACAAAATCCTGTTATATCCTGTGGATAAATAAAGAAATGTACAGTGGGCTTTAGGACAGCCACGTGGATTCAGAGCTCACAAAAACAAGAGTAACCCATGATGTACCAATGGGTAGGAGGAACACAATGGCATTTAGAAAGGCCTAATCCTTGACTCTTTTTTTTTTATTTAACATTTCTATTAGTAATTAGAATGATGACACACTTATAAAATTCAGAGATGACACAAAGTTATGAGGGTCAGCCAACCTGCCCCATAAGACCACATCCCAAAAGATATCTTCAGGTTGGAACAATGTATGAACACAAATCACTTCGAAATTTATTAAGAAGTAACAAAAAAAATCACACACCTAGATTTTTAAATATGAAACCAGTGCATATTGAGAAATGACTAATTTTAAAAAGTTTGGACACGAAAGATCCAAAGTTGTTCATTAAAAATTCAAAATGAATTGACAGTGTGATATGAATGCTTAAAAAAAAAGAAATGCTATCTTAGGCTGTATTATTGAGGTGTATCAGAGGTCAGAAAACGTTCTCTGCAAAAGTAAATATTTAAGGCTTTGTAGGCTATACTATCCTTGTCACAAGTATTTAATTCTGCTGTTCTCACATGAAAGCAGACAGAAAAAATACATATAGCAATGAGTGTGATCCAATAAAATTTTATCTATGGGCACACATTTGAATTTCAGATCATTTTCACATGCCATGAAATATTCTTTTGATTTAAAAAAAAACACATTTAAAAATGTACTGCCCTGTACCCCTGCCCCTGCGTGCAAAGTAAACCCCACTCTCATTTGGGCCGTACTAAACCAGGTGGCAGGTGGATTTGGCTGGTGGGCCATAGTTTGCTGACCCTGGTCTAGATCAAAAGACACTATACTCTGCTTTGGTCAAAATACTCCTGGTTGAATGAGGGTCATTTGAAAATTAAGTATTTCTCAAGGGCGATGATCATGGAGGAGTTGGACATACTTATTCCACAGAAGAGAAAACTAAGGAGGAGGACCCTGGATAGTGAAAGATGCTTGGACCCTGGCCAGGTAGCTCAGTTTGGGTAGAGCATCATCCCAATGCACCAATGTCGTGAGTTCAATTCCTAGTCAGGGCACCTACAAGAAGCAACCAACAAATGCATAAATGAGTGGAACAAAAAATCGAGGTCTCTCTCTCTTTCTCTTGAATCGACAAATAAAAAAGAAAAATACTTGAAGGGCAGTCACATGTGAACAGATGAAGATACTTGACCTGTATTGTTCAGCCAACTGAGAATAATGACAGGAAGTTATAGGGAGACAACTCAAACTTAGCACAAGGAAAATGTTTCTGTCAATTGGAGTGCCCCAACATAAAATGGGTTGCCTCTTAAACTTGTTTAATGACCATCTTTCATGAATGTTGCTGAAGGGACTTTCCATAGTGGATGAGAATTGGTAAAAGATTCAGAAATGTTTATTAAGCAAATCTAACCTTCAAAAATCCTTAGAACCTCTTGATTAATATATTTCTTTATTTCTTCAAATGAAATTGCATCAGCCTAAGAAGGGGGAAAAAAAAAACAAAGGTCTGTTAAAATAGACCACAGCAGAAATTAATAGAGAATAGAAATATTGAGTTGGCATGCAGACTGGAAGCTTCTATAGAGATACATTTATCAAGCAAAATGCTTTTGGCCACTGACTATATTAAGCAACAAATATCTTTTGTTTTGATCAAATGCTAGAAAGAAGTTGAAGTGTATAATTGCTTTAAAAGCTGTGGGCTGAAATCATAACCAGTGATGTGAACATATTTTCTATTAAATGGAGAGACATGGCTTCATATAATAGGAAAGACATTTCATATTACTTCATTTTCTGAAGTTACAAAATTTGAACAGTGTTGTCATGATGTTATTATCCAATTTTACTTCTAACCAATCCCTGGACACTGGTAAAGTCATTATCTAACTGATATTATGTATCTTCAAAGGAAGACAAGCTGTAAGAGAACTCTAAGTATTCTTGATTATTCTTTGAAGTGTTTTATGCATGGGATCAAGCTTACTAGGTTTTGCCCATTTCATGGTAAAGGTTAGTCTGTAATTTATACTTTGCAGGCATATTTCTATTAAGCAATTTTCTTTTTTTAAAGAGAAAATGCAAGTAGGTAAATGACGTCAGTTGAGTTTTTAACTTCATAAATACATTTACATGACTTTGACAAAGAACCTAACATTTATAATAGTAATGTTTTATTGTGGACATTGCTATTTTAAAAGGGAGCATCATTTTCCACAATGATTCGGATTTTAAACTATTTTATTACTCTTTGTATTCGGTGGTGGTTATCCAGGGGTGTAGAATCCAGGGGTGTAGAATTAAAGACAATGTGATGGGCTCAGACAGGGATGATTTCTGTTAGGGCACAACAGCTCCAAGAATGCCCTATTTCAACATTTTATTTTCACCATGTATGGGACAGATAAACTTGAATCAATGTATTTAATACCAATTATTAACATAGCACCAAGAGGTCATTCTACAGGCTTTATTCAAGTAGAGCTGAGGGGGAGTGGGTAAAATAAAGAAGTATGAAAATTATGGGAATGATCAATTTGACCCTTTATGTGGTCATGACTGATGATCTGACCCTGCTCCAAAACTTGCCTTTCTTCCTGACATGCATATTTTCAGATTAAGTTCCTCTGTGGAATGCCATCCACCATGCACCCTGAGGATATTCATACATATATGGTCTTCTTTAACCCAACACTCTTGGCCCAATGGGTCTCCCCTTCAAAGCACTACTCAGGGCAGATCTGTTGTTCTGATAGTCAACAAAATGGAGTTTTTATATGAAACAGACACAGTGTGGACTGTCTTGTGTAGTGGAAGGAGACATTGTAGATAGAATTTAAGAGCATGGCTTTGAAGTCAATCTAACCTGGGTCTGATCCACTAAATAGCCATGGCCTCGGACAAGTCAACTCTCAGTTTCTGCGTTTGTTTAAATGGGATGGAAAGGTCACCCATCCTCCTAGGGTAGCTGTGAGGCTGTGAGGTCATGGGTAATACGTGTTCAACAGAGGGTCTGGTACCCTAGCAGAGACCAGTTTAGGCTCATTCATATGTTGAAAGAATGATTGCTTTCGTGGGAGAAGGGATATGTGGTGAGTACCAGCCAGGAGCTCTGGAGCTCTCAGTACCACTTACTGGAGTGCCGGGGATGCCCGGAATGCCTGGAGGCCCCTGGTGCCCAGGGGATCCCACAGAGCCCTTGTTTCCTGGTGGCCCCACAGGACCTATGGCTCCCTTCATGCCCGGAAGGCCTGGCTTTCCCTGTTCACCTTGTGGGCCTCTGTCTCCAGGAATCCCCTGATCACCCTGTGGAGGAAAAAAATAATAGTAAAGAATGATCTCTTCTACAACTGCAACAGCTGTGCTTAAGAGCAAAGGACCTGGATTGATACTGGTGCTTACTAGCTGTGGGATCATGGGTAAGAGGATTAAATTATCTGTGCCCAAGCTTCCTCTCCGTGAAGTGAAGGATATCAATAGTATCACCAAGCAGGGTGGTGCTCAGAAATGAATGAGTTAACTTAAGAAAAGTGTTCAGAACAATGCCTGGCATGTTGAAAGCACTCAATAAAAAGGTAGTGACAATGTCAGTTGTACTCAGTTTCCAGTCTAGAATAATGACACCTTTGAAATCAATAGAGGCTGTCACCTCAGGCCGGGGTCTCCTTTGCAACAATAAAGGAAGATTGCCGGGAGGATTTCACCACTGAGATTTTTCACTCAGGAAAACTTCAGGATGCTCAAAATACCTCCTAAATTACGTGCTTTTCTTCTTTCCTGTCTGCTCTTATATTCTTCATTTTTGTTAGACTCTGTGAGTTGGCTTCTGTACACGTGTTGTGTGTGTGTGTGTGTGTGTGTGTGAGAGAGAGAGATGCAGAGAGGTAGATAGATAGATGATGGCCGGTATTTCAGTTGTAGATATTTCAAATATTCAATTCCACTGCTCCACGAAGTGAGGACCTCACACATTTGATAGAATGATGCATCAAGGCTGCCCTATATTTTGCTGTATTATTCTTTTATTTATGGCTTCTCTGCAAAAGTCCAAACTCTATTTCTCTTGATTAAAAAATAATGAAAACAAATGAACTATTAAAAAGAGATCTATTTCATCATGGAATAAAGAGGTGTAGAAAGAAGCCATGTAGGAAAAAAAACAAAACAAAACAAAAACCACAAGTGAACTCAGTTTCAATGCTACTGTCTTAGTTATGAAAATGTATCTGCATACAAGTATATCAACCTAGACCACAATTGGAGAAATATTTGAGATTATTAACGTAAAAAAAAATAAAACAAATACTAGCACACTTTGATCAATATTCTGGTAATGTGCAAAATAAACACAATCATCAATGTATTAAAATTATTTTACAATTTAGGGACAAATATGTTCATTATAGTGATGTTTATATTATAAAAACTGGGAAAAAGCCTAAATATCCCCAAAAGGGGGACTGGGTAAGTGAAATAAGGTATATCCAAACAGTGGAATAACATATAGCCACTAAAAGGTAGCTGTAGATCTCTATTTACTGTCATGGAAAGGTAGTCATTATATATTATTAGGCAAAAAAAAAAAAAAAGACATTTTTCAAAAAATTATGAGTCCCCTTTTGAAAAAACTGTATATTCATTTGTATTGATTCGTTAAGTATATGTGGTTGTTCGGTGTAAGAGTGAGAAAGATGGAAATAGGGCTACAATATCAACAGTGCTTGTCTCTGTGCAGTAGGGGAAGGTGAACTTTTTTTCCTTTTTTCATGTTACCTCTATTTTAATATTTCCTTCAGTTATCATGGATAATTTGTAGAATAGTAAGTAAAAGCTAATAAACTAGATACCAGTACACAAATACACATGCACGCGTGCGCACACACACACACACACCCCCCACACACATAAACTAGCAGCCTTTACTAGAATTCCACTAAATAACAATGCTTGAGTAACCTGTTGCTATGGAATGACTCCAGTTCTACAAGAAAATGTTCAGGCTCATTAAAGAACATAGTGGGAAGTTGGAATAATGATATTAACAACAATTAACATGAAAGCATACAACATAAATGGCATAACTAGCAACTTTATATGTCCAGTTGCTCTTTCCATTTCTCTCCCCCCTCACACCACCCCCCTCCTCAATTTAGTATTCCACTAGGTCAGGGGCCTCAAGTAGGGCAACTGTGCTCCCCAGGAGGCATTTGGTAATGTCAGGAGACCTTTTTGTTGTCACAGCTGGGGGAAGGAGGCTCCACCCCATCCAGTAGACAGAGACCAGGGATGCTGCTGAGTATCCTACAATGCACAGGACAGGCGCCTACAACAAAGAATGACTGCCCCAAATATCCACAGTGCTGAGGCTGAGAAACCCTACTCTAGGCAGAAAGAGCATGGGTGATGGTAGAGCAGGGATGTGTGTCTGAGACAAGAGGATGATAAGTGTTCCAACGGAAGCAGCCGACTAGACTGAGCTGTGTTGAAAAGCCAGTCATGTAGGTGTAAGTGCCATATGGCCTGCTTCTGGGCCTTCAGCTGTCCTATTTCATGTCTAGCAGAGATCTAGGATCACATACACTCTACCCTTTTCATGCTTGGAGAGTTGTAGGGGATCTACATAGATAATTGTGAACTCAAATGATGGGACAGTTGTAGCAGACAGACTTAACGATCAAAATAGTAATATACATACACGTTCTCCTTTGGGGCCTCTATCTCCAGGCTTACCCATGAGACCCTGAAAAACAGATGTCAACACGGAAAGTCACTGCTTGCCAAGACTGTTCCTCAGCCTGCTCCATCAGGTATTCTGCTGTTGGGTATTGTGCAACTGTGCATCGGAATATCATTTATTTTAAATGGTATTTTCCATACCTGAGCACCAGGCAATCCATCTTTTCCATTTATTCCCTGTAAAAACAAAAAATGACTCTTATTTCTAATTCTGCACGAACAGACATACTTAAACACAACAAAAGGGTAAAGTCCCAAGGACTTGATCATAGTCCTACTGAGAGTGTGGCGATGCAGCCTGGTGAGATGGAAACAAGATGAGCAGAATCAGACAGCCCAGCGTTTCAATTCTCACTCCGTCACCTAAAAGTTCCATTTACTTCAAGCAATTTACTTAACCTTAATAGCATCGGCCTCTTCACTTATAAAGTGAGGATAAAATAATGGCCTTAAAACCAAGGATTTAGTGAAATCACAGAAAATGCCTAGCTCACTGTACACAGGCAACAGGGTGATTTTCCTTCCTTATACTATTAGGTATATTCAGAGAAACAAGAAGGTGCCCCACAGTGCTAGATGGTTGGTGGATGGCATTTACTGCTACCTCCTAACAATTTTCTCTGGCACGAAGAGTCATTCTCAGTAAATGGTCTCAATGGCTGCTGGGGAGATTTCATAACATGGCCAGAGCATGATCTTAACATGAAATAAACGGTCAGCCAGAGAACGATTGTTATTTTTTCAGCTGGAAAACAGGAAAGGAAAGTAAGGAATCTGTAACTACGGTTTCTGAGAGTACTAAACAGTGGCTTTTTATTAGTAAATTGGAAATTTCCTGAACTTTATAAGGCAGTTCTGGAGGTGGTAATAAAGTTCGGAGATTTATAAGACAGTAGAACTATTGGCTGGGAGATGTGAGAAGGAAAAACACCTGGGGGTCAAATGAAATACCTAGACTCCAAGAGCAGACCTGTTTTGGAGACTTGATTTGAAGAGGGATATCAAGGTGAGGAAAGTGATTTCTTAGCCAGCAGGCAATTGCATGGACACACATGGTCCTTCGAAAAGCCAAGAAGACTTTTACTGTGCACCGGGGAATGGATTCTATGAGGAACTGCAGACAACCGCATGTTTTCACTGCTGTAAATTACACTAAAATCTGTCACAGCTGAGAGCCCAACCAAAGTCCCCCAACCTCTCTGAAAGATCCTGGGGATTGTCTAGACTACTTTTCCTAAGAACATGTTACCTGAAGTGTATGGTTCAAAGACTTTATGACATCCAGAAACACAAGCAACAAAGATAAAGCTGATTAAGGAGAGGATGTGAAAGAAACCACCGTGTCACTTGAATAAAAGAAGACAGATCTAGTGTAAAAATGAAATGCATGTCTTGGGTAACAACATATGAAAGGAAATAACAGTTATAGTCTTTTTTTTTGGTCCCTTATAATTCATCAAAGATGGCCTCGTGTGTTCTCTTTTGTATATGAAGGTGTTGCTAACTTGCTTTCCGTAGGGGAATCCTGTTTTCAGAGATGTTTACAGTGATCTATGTATCCTGCACTTGATGCTCCCTCCTCTCATCTCACGTATCTGGAAGGACCCGCTTCTGGGTAGAACCTTCTGCTTACTGTACCTCTGCCTCTGAGCAGTGAACTGCAGCTGAAGAAGGCCATGCATCCTTGCTCGCTTGTTCCAATGCAAATGTAGGATGGCAGGTGGCAAGCAGCCCCTCTGTGTTACCAGGTCACCCTTCTGCACTTCCTGCATCGACTCCCTTCCCTTCTCTCCAAAAGTTCTCTCTCACATATCTTCCTGTCTCTTCAAAAGTCCAGCACCATCACCTCCCTCCTCATGTTCAGCTGGTGACCACGATTCTTCTTTCACTGAGGTAATAGACAGGAGAGAACGACCTTCTCTTCCCTCCACCAGGTCCACCAGCGGCATGCATTTGTATTTCGACTTCTACCTCTTGCTAAAGAGGATGAAATGCCCCATTCCTTGATAAGACCAATTTCCATTTGTGAGTGGAATACCAGTCTTCTCTCTCTACCCAAAGTTATCAGTACTCTCTAATATCATCAAAATTTCCTCTCTCAATTGGATCATTCTTGTCAAGATGCTAACATGCTGGAATACCCCTGCCATGACCTCCACATTGCAAAATCCAGAGGAAAATTATCAGCCCTCATGTCACTTACCTGTATTTTTATCACTCCTTTGTTTAAGTAAAACATTTTTAAAAAAATTATTTATTGATGAGAGAGAGAGAGAGATCAATTTGTTGTTCGTTGGTTGATTTTTGTACGTGCCCTGACCAGAAATGACAACCTTGGTTAGAACCTCAGACGTTCTAACCAACTGAGCTACTTGGCCAGGACTATCACTCCTTTCTTTTAAAACACTCAGTTCCCTTGATATGCAAGAAGCCTCATTCACCTATTTTTTTTTTTTTACATCTCATTGTCTGCACTTTCTGTCTTTCTGCTAGATCTCTTCCTAACAGTTGAAGTGTGTTCTTCCCGTCCTTACCGCAGTAACTCCATTTCATCCAGGCTCAGGTTTAAATACCAAGATTGGTCTCTGCAGTACCAGCCTCTCCATTAAAACCAGATGCTTACATCCACACTTACTTGACATCTCCCCTTGGATATCTACTAGTGCTCCAAGATGAATGTGTCTAAAACAGACAATTCTTGGTTTTCCCTCCCCAAACCGCCCATCTCCAGTCTTTCCCATCTCACCAAACACACCATTCTGACGTGGTTGCTCATCCCCCAAACCAGAGCTTTGACTTGTCTCTCACTCACCCCCCCGCCCCCCGGGCCCTTCAACAAGTCTTGCTGGCTGTCCAGTCAATCCCGAATGCTCCTCCTCCTCGTGACCCCCCTCTTCTCCCATCATTATTTCTCTTGGGAACTATGGCAGCTCCTCCCTACTGTTCTGTCTTCCACCCTATAGTCTGCTCTCCACACACTACACTAGTCAGAGTGATTCCTGAAAATGTAGCTCAATCATTTTCCGTTCCCTCTCCAAACATGCCAATGAGTTTCTATCAGGCTGCAAGTGAAATCCAAACCCCAGTCAGGACTGAGAGGTTCCTGTGGCCTGGCCACTGCCGACCTCTCCCTCAGTAGCTTTCCCACTTCTCTTTAGCTTATTTCATTCTGAACTTCATGCCTTTCGCTGCTTTTTAAACACCTCATGTTCTACTAGCCATTTCTTTTTCTTAAAACAATGCCCTCCTCCTACCTCCTTATGGCATGATCTTTCTCTTGGTGTAGGTTTTGCTCAAATGGAATACCTTTTTTGACCACCCTGTTAAATAAGCATTTAGTACTTTGCCCTCCTTTGATCTCCTTCTACCTAAAACTGGTGTGTGTGTGTGTGTGTGCGCGCGCGCGTGCGTGTTTATCTGTAATCTGTGTCCCTATCCTAGGATGTAAACCCCATGAATTGCTAGCTCCCAGAACATTGCCTAGCATGTAGTAAGTGCTCAGGAAATGCTTGTTGAATGAACAGATGGCATTTTACCTAATCCCCTGGGAACCCAATGGTTACTCTTTGTGAGATGGAATTCAGGGGCTGAAAACAGGAAGTTGGCAAGAGAAAGTGAAGGTTGAGGCAGGGAATGACCTAACTACTGAGTATGTCCCAAGGGCAGGCACTGGAAATGCTCACTCTATATGATCTTGCGTAAGTGACTCAGAGTACTCTCTGAGTCAGAATTCAAACCCAGAGCCTCCTAGTTCTAGATTGCAGACGCTCCCCATTTTACACATTGCCTCCTCTGGGGAGATGGAAGTCAGGGAATGCACCACCCTGAAGGTTTCACCAAGGTACAAAAGCAGCCTCATGGACTCTGCTACTTTTTTACATTCAGTACCCTCTCCTCCTAATAGCATCCCCTCCCCACACACACCACAGCAAATAAACACACAAAGGGTGTAGTGACCTTCTGAAAAGAAAAGAAAAACAACAACTGAGCCTGGGGTATGTCTTGTTCATCTTTACATCCCCTCCCTGGGGGCAGCCCATCCTTAGCAAACAGCAGGGACTAGATGAGTGTCTGTTGAATTGAATTAGTAGGAATGGCTGTTACAATGTCACAGCAATACTATATACATCAGTAGCCAAGAGCTCTTTAGGACACGGGGATGATATATTTGGCAGCAGTGATTCATGAAAGTGTAAGAACAAGGCCCAGAGGTAAAGGAGGGGACCTGAGAAAACAGCTTCGACTTTAGCTTTTAGCTTAACACACAGGTGTTACATCTGTGAGTCTGCAGTTTTTATACTGGAGGATGTGATAGGTCATTTTATTTTTTAACTCCATTGAGAATATTAGACCTAAGAAAGAATGAGTGAAAAGGGGGTGAGGGGCACCTGTAATACTTTCAACAATAAAGAAAACATTTTTTTTAATTAAAAGAGAAAAGAAAGAATGGGTCTAATTTTCTGACACCTATAACAATAACAACGAACCTCAGCTCTCCCTTGTGTAAGACACAAAGACACCCCGCAGAGAGCCAGGACACAAAGTGAGAACCACTCCCAACTGCTCTTCCAGAACCTTCACTTACTTCCTCAGAGACTGCTTATTTAAATCCCAGACTTTCTGAGGAGATAGGTGAAGAGGCAACGCTTCGACCACTTCTCCAACTGGCAAATTTTAAACCACAGAAGTTCTTACCGGCTTTCCCGGGGGTCCTTCCGGTCCAGGGAAACCGATGTCTCCAACAGGTCCTCTCTCCCCCTGCGGACATGACCACAAACATGAATCACCAAGGAAAGCTTTAGAACTGCACTCGGTACAACCCAAGTACAACTGTCAGTAACTAACTCACCGGTTCCCCTGGAACTCCTGGAGGCCCCGGGGCTCCAGGCTTCCCCTGGAAAATCAAATCAAGGAGAAATGTTAGGAGCCAAACTGCCGAAGGATGCCCTGTGCTTAACCCCTACCCCGCTGTGAGCCTAATGTGCGCCAGGGCTGTGGCTCTCTACACTAAGATGGCACCCCTAGTGGCACAGTCTGGGGACCCCTGTTCAGCCCTGCAGGCTCCTAGTACAGGCTGGGAAAGTGCGCACGTGTGTATGTTGGGTGGGTAGTGGGGAAGGATAATAGTTTTGAAAATAGTAAACAAATTCATCCTCATTTCTGGAAATCTCTCTGGTGCCTATTGGACTGGCAGCTCTTCTTTACTTTGGGGGGTGGGAGGGCACAGAGGGTCAAAGAAATCTTTCCTAGACTGAGTTTCACAAGAGGCTTTCTAAGTTTATTGTAGGACAGCCTGACAAAGGGCATGTTGGCTTTGAGAAGCTGTGTTTTGTTGAAAGGGAGAGGACAGAATTGATTTGTTCCAATACACATCAATAGATTTGTCCTGAGCACCGACAACAGAAACATCCTGGGGTAGAGACCACAGGGCGGAGGAGTGAAGAAGACAGCCCAGCAGAGTCTGGAGGTGGGGAGGTACAATGTGTCCAGACTGGGCATGAAGTTGTTGCCTTTGAGAAGGAACTGCCTCCTATCCCGTGGACCTAACGTGGTTGGGAAAGAGACCAAGTGGGGGTGTAGGTGTAGGGTTGAGACTGTAGAAGCCGCAGTAGGTTGTGAAGGAATCTGAAAAGGGAGGGCCTTTTCCCTACTTGCTTTAGAATTTTGGGAGAAGACCCCCTCACAGGAAAAGCTAGGCAGACACCAGCCTGAGACACCTTCCCGCAGCCTGTGGGTGGGGTGGGCAGGGGCTCCTGAAGTCCCTGTGGGCCCCAGGCGGGGATGCTAGAGCTCCGAAGGCCAGTTTCCAAAAGGGTCTGGGCATGGGACACAGAGGAGCAGAGCGCTGGGCCCTGACATCTTAGACAAAGGATTAGGGTCATTGATGCCAGGCAGCAACGATCCCAAAGATCAGCCGGTGGAGACCTCAGAGAGCCGAGGTGGAGGGGAGTGTGCTGACCAGAGGCCCTCCCACTGCCCAGGCATGCGGACACTTCCTTCTGTGTCCCCACAGGCCACCTTGGCAGGACCGGGTGGGGAAAGAAGGCCTGGAGAGACCCCTGGATAGGCCTGAAGACACTAGAGAGGGACAGACTGGTCTGTTCTAGGAAGAGCAGGACCGGGTTCCCTTGGTACTCAGCAAAGTGACCATGATGTGTCTGACCAGGTGAGTCTCGACCAGAACAATCACCTTAAATTTTTTGTTCTTATTGTGGTTAAGATACATATAACATAAAATCTACAATTTTAAACAGTTTTAATGTAAAATTCAGGGGTATTAGATATATTCACACTGTTGCGTAACCATCCCCACTATTTCCAGAATCTTTTAACCTTTTTTTTTTTTTTTTTTCCCGAGCCACTATCAGGTCCAGTCATAAAACATTGTCATGTATTTAATTACACTGCTGTATATTTGCAGGGCGCAAATTTTTTACCCCTTCTCAATTTTTGTAATTGTCAGTTTATCCTCTTCATTATGAGATAAGAAAACTGCATTTTACTCCTTAGCTCAATCATGTTGCAGCCTTCAAAAATCTCTTTGCAAGTCTGCATTTGGATTGCATTTGAGTCTGCCACTCATCTTTTAAATACCTTCAATGGTTGCCAAGATATTTTCTCTGAAGAGATGTTTAATATAGGGTAATAGCCAAAAGTGATCTGTAGTACATCTGGGTGAACACAGTGGGCATTAAGCCTCATTATACCATGTAGAAACAAATTCAGGGTGTGAATGACTATAAGAGGTGCCGGTTGTAAGGGGACTCGGGGCAATTCTGGAAACAGAGTTCCAGGAATGGTAGTGAGGGGAGTAGGGAAGGAATGGGATAAAGTGTAAGCCAACTTCCAAGAAGAATACTTTCTTGTGCAAAACATTCTGTAGTGCTTGCTAAAGAAAATATTTCCATGTTGCTTTTCGATCATGCTAATATTTTAACTTGATCTGGAACAGCTGAATAAGGAGATGCCATCCTCTATAAAGGATCTGTGGATGGGTTTTAATCGTTGTTATTAGATTTAGCAACTACACAGAGTGAAGTAGTGTGGCTCCTGGGCTTTTAAGGGTCAGGGGCCGTAGGAAGTGGTAGTGACGAGCAGAGTGCCTGGCGGCAGGGCCTCCGGGTGGTCTGGGTAGTCGTGGGTGGTGACAGGAGGGCCCTTTTTATCTTTCCCATGTTCAAGCACATGGTTTCCATTGACTTTCCTACCCTGTGCCAGCCCTGCAGAGGCACCAAACAAGAGGATAAATGGGCTGTTATTCATAAAGCATGACCACAAAATTTTAATTAGAGCATCATGAATGAAGATCAGAATGATCCCCAGGGCTCAGAGAAATGATTTCAACCTTTCCTGGAGCACTTTCCTATTCATTGGAAAAGACCTTGATGAGATTAAAACATTTGACATCAGAGAGCAACAAAAATGATTGATATTATTGAAGGGCTAGTTTATGAGGAAACATTAGCAGCAATAAAGCTCTGCTAATAACACTGGGCTGAGGAAAAACTCAGGCAGACTGCAGTTTAATACAAAGAACTTGAACTACATGCCTGAGGATGAGAACTTTACCTTTTGAGGACCAAGAAACCTTGACATATGACAAAAGTAGAGAAACAAAACGTATGCCTCAAAGCTGCCCTTGTATATTAATGTATCATCACAGGTAACGGGGCTCTCCTCACTCCTTTCGTGAGTTGGGAAATTAAAAAGAAAAATCAGACAAAAATAAGAAAGAGATGAACATGAAGAAAGGAGCATTCTTGAGATGGAGAGGGGCAGGTGGTTTTATTTTTCAGACAGAAGGTTTCAGAAACCCCAGTGTTGTAGGAATTACCATGTGCTCCCCAGTCCTTCTGGACCCCAAGCTGTACATTTACTGTGGACACAGGACTGTTCACCTGAGAAAATCATATGATATAATTTGCACTCACCAACATGCCGGCTATTCCTGGGGGACCTGCTGGGCCTCGATCTCCCTGTTGGGATTTAAAAAAAATGATACTTATAATGATATCTATAGCATCTTTACCTATAAAATGAGTGCTCAAATAATCATTTGAATTTGGGAATGTTTTTCTTTGGAATTGATAAGCATTGTCAATATATCAGCTGGTGTGAAGCTAGAAGGTAGATGGAAAAACAACAAAATGAGTAGCCAACTGAACCTGTTAGCTTTCTTTTTAAAAAATAAAAGCAAAGAAAATAATCTTAATGAAAAGAAGCATTCATCTTATCATTTCTGGGACCTATTTTTATTTATTTATAATATGTTTTTATTGATTTTACAAAGAGCTGAAGGGAGAGGAAGATAGAGAGAGAGAAAAAACAGACTGGCTGCCTCCGGCAGGCCCCCTACTGGGAATCATGCCTGAAAACTCAAAACCCAGGCATGTGCCCCAACTGGGAATTCAACTTGTGACCTCTCCTTGGATGGGGGTGCATGGGATGATGGTTACCCAACTGAGCCACACTGTGACCTATTTTTAATAAGACTCCATACATACAGCTATAATTAGTCAATCTTTTTATTATACACATTCAAAAGTAATTCATTACCAATACTTAAAAGAGTAAACATATTGAATTCTCCTTAAAAGCTTTTCCTACACTTGTCTCATTGGATGTAGAGTTAGAATAAAGATATTTAGAATATGGATTATGTCGTTTTCATTAGGCCACTCGGAAGATCCCTTGAATTGCTCTGAACAGTAGAGTGAGTAACCCATTATTTTTTCCAAAGGCAATGTGGTATTTTAGATAAAGCTGACAATGCTAAAAATACTAATGATTATATATGGGATAATAAAATGGCAATTTTATTGAGCAGAACCTACATTAAAAAACTTCATAACTTCCTCCAGGGACATAAAAGAAGACTTGATTAAGTAGAGAGAGATGTTGTGTTCTTGGAGGGTGAGACCTGTTGTAAAGGTGTCACTGCTAGCCAAACTAATTTATAAATTTGATGCAATTCTTACGAAATTGCAGCTTGACCAAATAATAGTATAGTTTACTCAGGATAATAAATAAATGAGAGGATAAAAGAAAAAATAGAAGAAGAATAAGATTAACACCACCAATATTTAAATATATAATAAAGCTATAGCAATTAAGATAATGAAATGTTGGTGTGAGATTCAGCAGGATAGCAACACAAAATAACAGAAACCTCAGAAATAGACCAAAATTTATAACAAGATTTTAGTAAAGTAAGGAATGTATTATTGAACACACAGTGCTAATAATTGAATAATTTCTTTGAAAAAAGTTTGATTCCTCTTTTAATATTATACTCCCTATAAATTTCATGTAGATTTTGTAAAAAATAAAATATGACATATAAAATAACTAGAAGAAAATATAAATGACTATCCGTGGTTGAGCATAAGAATAAAAGTCATTTAGGGCATAAAATCAAATAAAAGAAAGTAGTTTTATATTTGACTACATAAAAAGTTTTATTTACATAATATTAAGCGGTAAGATTAAATGTGAAATTAAAGGCAAAGATAAACTAGATAAAACTCCAACATATAAGACAGAAATAATGTCTTTAATATATAAAGCATAGCTAGAGTCAAATAGAAAAAGAACTAAGAAATGTGGGCAACCAATGGGAACAGGTAATTCTTGTTAGTTTCACTCTACTCTTTTTAAATTATGGGTTTTTTTTTACCCTTGTAATGAATATACTAGAATTTATCATTCAGTGGAAACATCTGCATATCTGATAAAGATGAACATTAAGAGAATTGTCTGACAAGACATTCTTCCCAACGATTGGGTCTCTGATTTCTCTGAACTCCTCTCCTCTAGTGATCTGGCTCCTTTCTTATTTCCAAAGTTATGCCTCAGACTTTGTCAATAACAATAATTGCATCACTTCCATAATCTCAGTTTCATGAATTCCAGCCTTGGAACACCATCTCCTATTGTTATAATCTACTCCCTTAAGTACTTAAACCCCTGATACCCAATGCCACCAAGACCTGTAATCCATTGATGATACAATTTTTTGATGCCACCAAGACCCTTAATCCATTGATGGTGCAATTTTTTCACTATCCTTCACTCTCTGGATGGCCTCTCTCCATTATTTATCTAGTTTTAACTCCATGGTCACTTGTTATAATCACTCCTTTGTATATGCTGATAACTCTTTTGACCTATTGCTGCGTCTGGGACTCATTTGTAAAAACTGGAACCTTGTTTAAATACAACTCCCCTCCTATTCTGTACCTTTATTGGAGTGTCTACACATGGCTGGAAAAACACATATAATTTTGCTGACTAATCTCACTTCAGTCCATAACCATGAACCTGAAGGGGGGCCCTTAGGATTGCCTAGCCATCTCTCTGTAGTCCCTGGGTTCTCCCTCTCTCCTCGAAGATCTCCTTAAATCTCCAACCTCTTCTCCCTACCTCACTCTCAGAGGATGACCTTACTTCCTCCATCCCAGAATTTTTAAGCAATCAGTAAAGAACTTCTATAGATTTCAACCAATTCATCTTTCCACATGTAAGCACGTGTTGCCCTGTGCTTCTGTTTTCCCACCTGTTACCATCGATGAACTATTCAGCCTCCTCTCTGCAGCTAAACCCTCCATTTATACACTAGGTTCCCATCCCTCTTAGCTATTTAGGAACAAACAGTACTTCAGCAGTTCTTCCCTTTCCGCCTATATCATTCCCACCTCCCTCTACTTTCTGCCGGATCATCCCTTTAGCATATAAAACATCCTGGTATTTCTATGGTCTTAAAATCCATTTTATAAAATATTGTCCTACTTTCTTCAGCAACCACTGGCCCATTTCTTTGCTTTTCTTGGTAGCAAAACTCCTTGAGCATTGTTTATACTATATTTGTTGTCCCTATTTTTTTCTCTCATTCTCACTTAAACTCATTCAAGCCCAGAAGTTGCTCCTTACAAATATGGTGAATTAGGGATAATTACTCTGGTGATACATGACTTCTATATTGCCAAGTGTAATGGTCAATCCTTGACCCTATCCCCATCACACTTGACCTATTTGCAGTACTAGAGAAAGATGATCACTGCCGTCTCCTTGACACATTATCTGCACTTGGTTTTTACGACACCAAATGATCCTTCTTCCTCCCTGGTCACTTCATTTTAGTCTCCCTTGCTGATCTCCTAATGTGGGAGGGCTCAGGACTCAGTCCTTGATCCTCTTCCCTTTTTAAAAAGCCTACTGTTGTTCCTGTGGTGATCTTGTCCACCACATTCCCCTCACTCACTCCCTTGGGCTCCTTGGATGGAGCAAGAATGCTCATGCCATTTAGACTTACTGTTTTCTTTTGTTAAAAAAATGACAGATTTAACATGTACAACTTGATGACTTGATATATGTATATATTATGAAATAATCACCAAAATCAAGCTAATTAACATCTCTATTAACTCACATAGCTACCACTCTGTGTGTGTGTGTGTGGTGAGAACACTTAGCAAATTTCAACTATACTGTATAGTCTTGTTACAAATCCTCACCATGCCATACATCAGATCTCCAGAACTTGCTCACCTTGCCTGGAACATTCTTCCTGCAGACTTGAGGAAGACTTGGCTAGCTCCCCCTTACCTCTTTCAAGTCTTTGATCAGCTCTTGCCTTCTCAGCCCACCCTATTTAAAGATCACCTTGCTCCCCTCAGCACTCCCGGTTCCCTTTAACCTGCTCTTTTTCTTCCCATTTGTACTTGCCAACAATATTATTTAGTTATTTGGGCTCATTTGTTTAGTTTCTGTATCCTCTTTTTGGGATATAAGTTCCATGAAAGCAGAGATTTTTGTCTGTTCTGTTCCCTCATGTTTTAGGTTCCCTCAAACCTAAAACAGTTCCTGGTACAACAGCAGGTGCCCAGTAACCATGTCTGTGTTGAATCAGGGAACGCATTTCTAAGCCTTATACTTACCTTTATACCTGGGAATCCTTCTAGTCCTGGCAAACCCATTACACCAGGTTCTCCCTGTTAAACATGAACATAACAAACTCAGGAGCAATGATCAAAAGGATATTAAGCATTGGTTTCAAAAGCAAAGATTTTTTTGCCTTAAAAAATCCCTCAAACATTGGTAATCTAGCAAGTAGATGGTACACTCTATTTTCAAGCATTTGTACTCTTGCATTTGGTGTTTGAAAACAGTTTGAGAATAAAACTATTCCCTGGAGATGTATGAGTCTATTTTCTGATTAATTGCTTTTATTCTGATTAGGGATCTAATTGGAATGAATCCCTCTGGTCAGTGGTAGCTCCAACTGCAATAAGAATTTGAAGGAAAGGCTGTCTTAATAAAGTGTGCCAACTTGCGAGGTGCCCGAGGCTGCTAGGTTACCAGAGAGTAAGACTGAGCCCTTGGGAGCAGAGGAAGATGGAGTTCTCAGAGAAGCTGGTCACCCTGCAGTCTTCCCTGCAGCTGCAGTGGGACGTGAATTGTGACTACTTCAGAGGACGACCCCAGGAGCAGCATCTCTAATGATTTCAAGTTACTGATCAAGCTGATGGGTCACTGAGAGGAGACGCGTGAGCATTTCCCACTAAAAAAAGATCTTACATATTCTAGTGTGTGGTCCCAAGTAACCAGAGACGTCAGGACCTCAAGGGACACGTTTAGAAAAGTTAGAGTGAAGGAAGCTGCTCACTTTGAACAAATAAATATTAGGACGTTTAAATCAAGGGAGATAAAGTGGGTAGCATATGACTTGATAGAACTTTTTTCTTTTCTGTTTTTAACTTAAATAATTTTTCCATTAAAGTTTATATTCAATGTTATTTTATATTAGTTTCAGGTGTATAGCATAGTGGTAACACAATGATCTGATTTATAAAATGAATTCCTCAATAATTCAAGTACCCACCTGGCAAAATACATAGTTATTTACAATATTATTAACCATATTCCCTATGCTGAATTTGATGTTCCCATGACTATTCTGTAACTACCAATTTGTACTTCTTAATCTCTATACTTTTTTACCCATTTCCACACTTCCTCCCCTCTGGCAACCATCAAAACAGAACCAGATTCACTGATACTTTTTATGCTTCAGAAATCTTTTAAAATGTCTATTACTATGTAACCTGTCAATCAGAAAAAATGATATTTAAATTCTATTCTGCATAAAACTCTCTAAAAGAGACCCAGGGTTACTGCCAAAGGAAATAAGCTCTTGGATTCTTTTTGGTTACATTCCCAACAATCCTTAGGACAGAGGACAGTGCTCAGCCAATCAATATGTGTTTGAAATTAGTCAATAATTAAATATTTAATGGAAAACCACTTATAAATTGTACACCAAAGACATAAAATTGAGCATCTCAGAAGACAATTAATCCAGTTGAGGATACCTTTCATCTATAAAGGTTTACTGAGCAGATTTAAAACAGGTGATTTAGCATCATGGGATTTGAAGGATACTCTAAGAGTAAAGCTATCCCTACCCACCTCAACATGACTTTTCCATTTTCTACTCTGTGACCTAAAATTCTACCCTTCTGACCTTATTTCTAATGGCATGAGATGTTCTCTCTCCACACTGGGCAATTGATGGGAAATGAAGGAAGTTGCTTGGTGGTGCTGACACACAGCCCCAGAGAGTCCTTTCCAAGTTTCATCTATGACAAACCTGAAGGTTACACTGGGCTTAATGTCATGATTCCACATTCTGTGTGTGCTTCACTCAACACTTCTAAAAGCAAGGAACACCCTTTCTTTAGTTTTTATTCTTTACCCTTTGTTGCAGCTAAAATTTTGAAGCTTAATATCTTCAAATTCTACTCAAATATGTCTGCATTTTTGTTGCTACCCACTTTCCGGTCAGGTGAATTATAATTTATTCTTTATTATAATGTTTAAAAAAAAAAAAAAAAGCTTTTCTGACCTTAATCTGCAATTATTAATGATAACACTTGAATGTTCCAGAAAAGCTAGTGAGAAGTCTAGGTGCCCCTAGATGATTCGGAAGGAATGTTTTGTGTGTGTGAGGATGAGAAGAAAAGAGCAGGAGGAAATTTTTTCCAATAAGTTGAAAATTAAAATTAGGATGAAGAATGTAACAAAAGTTACAGATAAAACAAGGGCAGAATGAGTAGCAAAACAAAGGAAACTTCTCGATGACATACTTGGTGTTTGAGAAATGCTACTAACTGGTTGAAATCATGCTTTCAAGGGAAATCAAATTGGCTTTTAATATATAATGCCCCATAGAAAAAACAACTCTTTAATTCATCTCCTTTGAAAATACATTTAGATGTGAAAAGATTGCTTGTTATGGTTTGTTCTTTTGCTCATTTAAAATGTATTCATCTGGTTTTACCAAACTGTACTGTAAGGAAAGGGCTTTAAGTTTTTCCACATGACAATGGAAAGTGGTTTGAAAGTTTACTGCTTCAAGTTTCTGGTACATCTGCGTTCAAGTATGTACTCCAACATTAAAAGGACATACAAATTAAATATAAAAGGTGGATAAACCAAAGAACTTATATGTGTAACCAATGGACATAGACAACAATGTTGGGGGTGGGGTGAGGGGGTGGGGAGGAAGGTGTCTGGGGAGAAAAAGGAGAAACATCTGTAACAAAAATAAATTAATAAAATTAATAAATTAATAAAAATTGCAAAATAAAAAAAGAAATCCAAAAGGTGGAACATATGCTTAAAAGGGACATGGAAGGAAAAACTGCCAGGAAATAAAGAGATCTGATTGGACTTAGCAGAACTTTGACAGGATGCTCCCTGGTTGAAAAGGATGCTTGAGAACAATTATCATTCTCTGGGCAGCTGAGGACATGATGTCTTTCTGTGCTGAGTGTTAACTCCTGATACATTACTCCCAATAAGCGGGTTTATGACAGCACACCACATCTCCTACAGAATAACTGCCTCACATTCAAAGAAAATACACATTCCCCTGCTTTTTCTTTTTCTTTTTTTTTTGTTGGGGAGATGGCAGACACATTAAGGAATATCTTTCCAGTAAGTATTTCTCTTCCACAATCTACTTAACATGGAATCAATCATCGAAATTGTTCTATTAGAAGAAAGTGTCCCATTTATCATGAGCTTTATATATGCCTTCCTCCATCACAGGGCGATTTAAAAACACACTGATGGGGGGACCGAAAAATGGCGGCGGAGTGAATGGAGCTACACAGACCGTCTCCCAGAACCAAACTGGAATTACAACTATAACACAGACAAATCGACGGGAAAAACCAACAGAAAAGCAGCTTGCGAGGACCATACAACGAGGGACACTGACTCCATCCCGGTAGGCTTGTAAAGGCGCAAGACGGGGCTGGGAGCCCACGGTCGGCAGCTCGGCAGCGGCCTCAGCTGGGAGCAGCGCCCTCGGGTTACACTCCCAGGTGGCTCCACAGCGCACACGGGACAGAGGCTGAAACAGCCACAGCCACTCACCTTGGGCTCCGGCAGAGGGAGGGCAGACTGGACTGGAACTGAGTCGGGACACTCGGGGTTTGGAGGGCGCTCAGAGCGTTTGCTGAGTGCAGCCACTCAGGACGGTGGCCGTATTGCTCCTTCCCAGGGCTCTGAGGAGAGGCAGCAGCCCCTCCCTCGGAGATCCAACCCCACCCTGTGGGCCATTGAAGTGCTAATTGAGGCTCACTAACAACCAGCATCTGCCCCACCCTCCTGAAAGCCCCTTGGCTGAGCACCAGAGGCAGTTTTTCAATCAACTGACAACCCAAAACTCATCAATTAACCTAGACTGCTAGCCTCCAGGCAAAAAGCTAGAGGATAACAGTACGTTTCCTGGGCTGGCAACTTTAACCAGGAAAGTAAGACTTGACAGTGGTGTTCAACGTGGGTCCTCCCTCGCTCATCTAAACACAGGAGAGGGAGCCACAAACAGCAGAACACCAACACCCACAGGGAGAACTTGACAGGCTCCAAAGCCCACAGTGATAGCCAAAATGGTGAAACACAGAAACAGAAGCCAAATGAAAGAGCAAGACACCTCCACCGAAGATGAGATCAATGCAGAGCAATTAGGCATGTTAACAGAGCTAGAATTCAGAGCCATGATCTTGAGGAAGCTGAACAGCATGAGTAAGGACATAGAGACACTGAAAATAAGCCAATTAGAAATTAAAAACCAACAAGAAGAGATAAAAAATGACATATCAGAAATGAAAAACACATTGGAAGGTTTAAAAAGCAGAGTAGGGGAAGCTGAGGACTGGATCAGTGAATTAGAAGACAGGGTAGAAAAAATCAACCAATCAGAAAAACAAAAGGAAAAAACTATTAAAAAACAGGAAGACAGCTTAAGAGAACTATGGGACAACTGGAAACGTAATAATATTCGCATCATAGGAGTCCCCGAAGAAGAAGAAAATGAGCAAGGGATAGAGAATATATTCAAAAAAATATTGAGAGAAAACATCCCTAATTTGGTGAAGGAAGAAGGCATTCAAGTTCAAGAAGCACAGACAGTCCCAAGTAAGAAGAACCCAAACAGGCCCACACCAAGACACATAGTAATTAAAATGCCACAAATTAAAGACAAAGAGAGAATCCTAAAAGCAGCAAGAGATAAGCAACAGGTTACCTACAAAGGGAACCCCATAAGGCTCTCAGCAGACTTCTCACAAGAAACACTACAGGCCAGAAGAGAATGGCATGAAGTAATCAAAGTCATGAAAAACAAGAATCTGAATCCAAGACTACTCTACCCAGCAAGGCTATCATTCAAAATAGAAGGTCAAATAAAGAGCTTCCCAGACAAAAAAAGGCTAAGGGAATACATTAGCACCAAACCAGCACTGCAAGAAATGTTAAAAGGACTGCTGTAATTCGCAGTAAAAATGGGAAGAAAAATAGAACCACACTAAACAAAAATGGCAATAAATAAGTACATATCAATAATCACCTTAAACGTTAATGGATTGAATGCTCCCATAAAGAGACACAGAGTAGCTGATTGGATAAGAAAGCATGACTCATCTATATGTTGTTTACAAGAGACCCACCTCTCAACAAAAGACTCACATAGGTTGAAAGTGAAGGGATGGAAAAAAATTTTCCAAGCAAATGGAAAGCAAAAAAAAGCTGGGGTAGCAATTCTCATATCTGATAAAATAGATTTCAAAATGAAGACCATAACTAGAGACAAAGACGGCCACTACATAATATTGAAAGGATCTATCCAACAGGAAGATATAACCTTGATAAACATATATGCACCCAATATAGGAGCACCAAAATATATTAAAAATCTTCTGGAGGACTTCCAAGGAGAAATCGACAACAATACAATCATAGCAGGGGACTTCAACACCCCGTTGACAGCACTGGATAGATCCTCTAGGCAAAAAATTAGCAAGGAAACAGAGACTCTAAATGAAGCACTAGACCAAATGGATTTAATAGATATCTACAGAGAATTACACCCCAAAACTACAGAATACACATTCTTCTCAAGTGCACATGGGACATTCTCAAAGATAGACCACATGATAGGACACAAACTAAATCTCTACAAGTTCAAGAAGATTGAAATCATATCAAGCATCTTCTCAGATCACAATGGCATGAAACTAGAAATCAATTGCAACAAGAACATGCAAAGACATTTCAACACATGGAGGTTAAATAGCATGTTATTAAACAATGAATGGGTCACCGTCGAGATCAAGGAAGAAATTAAAAACTTCCTGGAAACCAATGAAAATGAACACACAACAACACAAAATCTATGGGTTGCAGTGAAAGCAGTTCTGAGAGGGAAGTTCATAGCACTACAAGCCTACCTCAAAAAACAAGAAAAATTTCTAATTGACTGTCTAACCTCACAACTTAAAGAATTAGAAAGTAAACAAAAAGAAAACCCCAGAGCAAGTAGAAGGAAGGAAATAGTAAAGATCAGAGCAGAAATAAATGACATAGAGACCAGAAAAACAATTCAAAGGATCAATGAAACATAGAGCTGGTTTTTCGAAAAGATAAACAAGATTGATGGACCCTTAGCTAGACTCACCAAGAAACAAAGAGAGAGAACCCAAATACACAAAATCAGAAATGAGAGAGGAGAAGTAACAACCAACACCATGGAAATACAAAAGATCGTTAACAACTACTATGAACAACTATATGGCAACAAATTCGAAAATCTAAGCGAAATGGACAAATTTCTAGAAACACACAGTCTCCCAAAACTATTCCCGGAAGAGATAGAAAACTTGAACAGACCAATAACAACCAAGGAAATTGAAGAGGTAATCAAGACTCTCCCAGCAAACAAAAGCCCAGGCCCAGATGGTTTCACGGGGGAGTTTTACCGAACATTCAAAAAAGAACTAACACCCATTCTCCTCAAACTATTTCAAAAAATTCAAGAAGAAGGAAGACTTCCAAACACGTTCTATGAGGCCAGCATAATTCTAATTCCAAAACCAGAAAAAGACACTACAAAGAAAGAAAACTACAGGCCAATATCCCTGATGAACATAGATGCCAAAATCCTGAACAAAATATTAGCAAATCGGATCCAGAAGTACATCAAAAAAATTATTCACCATGACCAAGTGGGATTCATTCCAGGGATGCAAGGCTGGTACAATATTCGCAAGTCAATAAACGTGATACACCACATCAACAAAATGAAGAATAAAAACCACATGATCATATCAATAGATGCTGAAAAAGCATTCGACAAAATCCAGCATCCATTTCTGATAAAAACGCTCAGCAATGTAGGAATAGAGGGATCATATCTCAACATAATAAAGGCTATATATGAAAGACCTACAGCCAACATCATACTCAATGGACAGAAACTAAAAAAATTTCCATTAAGAACAGGAACAAGACAGGGATGTCCACTTTCGCCACTCTTATTTAACATTGTACTGGAAGTCTTAGCCACAGCAATCAGACATGAACTAAAAATAAAAGGGATCCAAATTGGAAAGGAGGAAGTGAAACTGTCATTATTTGCAGATGACATGATATTGTACATAGAAAACCCTAAAGACTCCATCAAAAATCTATTAGACTTAATAAATGAATTTGGCAAAGTAGCAGGATACAAAATTAACGTCAAGAAATCGACGGCATTCTTGTACATCAATGATGAACTCACAGAAAGAGAAACTGAAAAAACAATCCCATTTACCATCGCGCCAAAAAAATTACGATACCTAGGAATAAACTTAACCAAAGAAGTAAAGGACCTCTTTGCAGAAAACTACAGGTCATTGAAAAAAGAAATAGAGGAAGATATAAAAAAGTGGAAGCACATACCCTGTTCATGGATTGGAAGAATTAACATAATTAAAATGTCCATACTACCCAAAGCAATCTATAGATTCAATGCAATCCCCATCAAAATACCAACGACATATTTCAGAGAACTAGAACAAATACTTCAAAAGTTCATATGGAAACAAAAAAGACCCCGAATAGCCACAGCAATCTTGAAAAAGAAGAACAAAGTAGGTGGGATCATAATACCAGATATCAGGTTATACTACAAAGCGACTGTAACCAAAACAGCCTGGTACTGGCACAAGAACAGGCATATAGACCAGTGGAACAGAACTGAAAACCCAGAAATGGACCCAAGGCAATACGCTCAATTAATATTTGACAAAGGTGGCAAGAGCATACAGTGGAGTAAAGACAGCCTCTTTAATAAATGGTGTTGGGAAAATTGGACAGCTACATGCAAAAAAATGAAACTAGACCATCAACTTACACCATACACAAAAATAAACTCAAAATGGATAAAAGACTTAAATGTGACCCGTGAATCCATAAAAATTCTAGAAGAAACTGCAGGCAACAAAATTTCGGACATCATACGCAGCAGAATATTCACTGATACATCACCTAAGGCAACAGAAATAAAGGAGAAAATGAACACATGGGACTACATCAAACTAAAAAGCTTCTGCACAGCAAAAGAAACAATCATCAAAATGGAAAGGCAACCCACTGTATGGGAGTACATCATTGCCAATGATGTATCAGATAAGGGGTTAATTTCCAATATATATAGAGTGCTCATACAACTCCACAAAAGGAAGACAAAGAACCCAATTAAAAAATGGGCAGAGGAGCTGAATAGACACCTCTCCAAACAGGACATACAAATGGCCAAGAGACATATGAAGAAATGCTCAACATCACTAATCATCAGAGAGATGTAAATTAAAACAACAATGAGGTATCACCTCACACCTGTCAGAATGGCCGCCATCAACAAATCATCAAACAACAATACACTGCTGGTGGGAATGCAGACTGGTGCAGCCGCTATGGAAAACAATATGGTGCTACCTCAAAAAATTAAAAATTGAACTTCCATTTGACCCAGTGATCCCACTGCTGGGAATATACCCTAGGAAGCCTGAAACACCAATCAGGAAGAATATATGTACCCCCATGTTCATAGCAACACTATTTACAATAGCTAAGATCTGGAAACAGCCCAAGTGTCCACCAGTAGACGAATGGATAAAAAAGCAGTGGTACATATACACAATGGAGTACTATGCAGCGGTAAGAAAGAAAGACCTCTTATCCTTTGAGACGACATGGAGGGACCTGGAAAGTATTATCCTAAGTGAAAGAAGCCAAGCAGAAAAAGACAAATACCACATGATCTCACTTATATACGGAATATAATGAACATAACAGTCTGAGGAATACAGTAGACCCAGACACATGGAAGTAGGGCACAGACTGACATCCCTCAGAAGAGGGGATGGGGGGTGGGGGGTGGGAAGAGATAAACCACAGAACTTATATGCATGTATGCATGACCAATGGACATGGACAACTAAGCTGGGGACAGGGTGGAGGGGGGGTAGGGTGGGGGGTACCAATGGGGTAAAAAGGTAAAATATCTGTAACAAAAAAATAAATAAAAATTCATAAATAAATAAATAAATAAAGAAAGAAAGAAAGAAAGAAAGAAATTTCTATGAGGAGCAAAAAAAAATAAAAAAAAATTAAAAACACACTGATGAAAGAGATGACCGTCGAGGGCAGTGACAACATCAGAACAGATGCATTTTACGAATGAAGAGCACACTGCTGGCATTTTCTTGGTGGCCAGCCTGCTACCTCCAGCATGTTAACTGATAAACATCTGAGGAGGCAGGGCATCTTTGCCTGATGCTCTTCTTCCAAACTTTAATCAAGACCTAGTTTTTAAATGACACAAAACATGGAAATATACATACCACTGGGCCAGGATCACCTTTTGGGCCCTAGGATTAAAAAAAGGAAAGTCATTTTTAAAAGAATGACTGAAGCAAAGTGATAGAATATGAAGCATTTTTGTCTGATTTGTTTAATACGCACACAAATATTTGCAAGTTTTGTTCTGCTACAGTTTGGATTTAAAGAATAAGATGAAGAAACATAACTCGATGGAATTGCTATGACAGCAATTGTTGAGAAATTGACTTCATTCTTAGACTGTCAATGCAAAAAGTGACACAGCGATGCATAATCGAATTTTCATTATTGTGGCTGTGTACTTTTTCTCAGTTTTATTATAATTGGTTTCATTATTTCCTCCAGCATAAAAAAATTTGGTGATATTTGTTACATGTACTTGTGTGTGTGTGTGTGTGTGTGTGTGTGTGTGTGTGTGAATTTGGGAGTTTTGTTTTCACTGTGGCTGTTCAGCTAAAGTATACTTGGTGATAAACAACTGTACTCACAGTGGGGCCGGGGGGCCCTGGATAACTGGGGACATTCACACCTCCCTTCAAAAAAAGAAAGAAAAAGATGACAAGAATTATGTTAATCCATAACTGAACAATTATTTTAAATAATTATAAAAGTAAATACCTGGATTTTATATAAACTGCTCATTCCATTTCCTTCAACGAATGGCACACCCTTAGGAAAGAAATGAGATACAGAATTATTCTTTTCAGTTAACAGTTAGCATCTCTACCTTTTATCTTTTTACAAAAAGATATTTTTCCTATTCTGTTTTAGAAAGTGAGGTTAACACTATAAGTAAAATAACATAATGTTTCTATTTTGGGCTCTTCAAACACAAATACAGAGGAAAAAAATGAAATGGAGTGTGAACTACACCTGGAGCAGACAGATATGTCCAGTGGGGGTGTGATTAATGTGCAGGTGTGACAGGTGAGACACTAATGCATTCAGAGGGAAATATTATTTGTGCATTAAAATTCAGTTTCTGAATTACCAATTTATGCTAACTGTTTACAGCCTGCTGACCAGCAACACTGCTGATGAAGATGTGAACAGGGAACAATTTGGCTACTGAAACGTAATTTTTTCCCACAGTCTCTTCAAGCTAAATAGAAAATTAAGGTTAAATGGGATAATGTTACCCACAACCCTTTGTGGACATTTCTACAAAAACATACTGTTTAGAACAGGGAGCAAGAATTTCCTGATAACACTGTCCTGTGAATGGAGTAACTATCACTTAAAGGGAACTCATTTGAGATCTTGAAAAATCATACATTTTTGGCCTTCAGGACATATTTGTAAATAAACATTTTTACATTTTATCATTTAAAAAAAAATTCTCTACAATCAATAATCTAGATTTCTCTTTTCTGATTTCCGCATTTTGGGTGCAAAGTTGAAGGAGCCATCATTCACTGTTTTGGGATACTGGTGCTCAGTGAACACCACTCACGTGCATATTCAAAACATGGGTGATGGAAGGAAAAACGCTCCTTTCATTTATTCCTTTATTATTTCACTCGCTCATTTGACAATTGTTGAATATCTACTACAGTTGAGTGTGCTAAGTCCTGAAAAGATGAAGGATAATTCTGTATCAGATTCCCTCTCTTACCCCCCCCAAAACAGAGGCTCTTCCCCAAAGGCAACATTTATCAGTCTTGAAGAATAGTTTTGGAGAATTCAGGGTAAGAAGATTTCTTTTTTTTTCTTTATTGATTTTAGAGAGAGGAATGGAGAGGGAGAGAGAGAGATAGAAACATCAATGAGAGAACATCGACTGGCTGCCTCCTGCATGTCCCCTATTGAAGATTTGGCCCACAACCTGGGCATGTGCCCTGACTGGAAATCGAACTGGCGACTTCTTGGTGCATGGGTGCATGGCTCAACCATTGAGCCACACCAGCTGGGAAAGAGGGATATTTCTTAAGCCCATCATAAAATATAGGTCCCTTTTGTGAGCTCAGGTTCTATTTTGCTGTTCTGTCCACTGGGGAGGGAGCGCATTTTAGGATTTGAGCCTCAAATGCTTTCTGCACTGTTTCCTTGTCAAAGAAGAAGGTGTGTAAAAAAAAATGAAGACCGAGTTTAGGAAAACAGAGTACAAATCCTTTCATTTATGTGTGCAAAGCCTGCATTTACATAAAGACTGTTAACATATCTTTGTGGTCTTCAAAAAGTCACAGAGGAAGTCCACCCCCTCTCCAGTGAGTTTCTGCTATACTATTCCTATGAGGTAGGGTGGACCAAAGCTCTGCTGCGATTTGAGCGTGGCCCCACAGGAGGGCAGACTTGCTACAGAGAGAGGTGCCTCTTCTCTCCTCGGCCTTTCTGACAAAGTGCACATCTGTCTCAATCATGAGCCTAAAAACATTGATGGCTCTTGTACATTTTATTCACTAGGTGCTATATAAATAGAATTTCCTTGCATCTCAGACATCATGGGTGGTAATAAACACATACAGCATAATACCAAATACTGCACCTATTCACATCGCTGGAAGGGATCACTTTTTAAAGCCCATCAATTTTCTGTGAACGAGGCCCACTGAGGTTTAATGAATTTCCAGGGCTCCCCCAGGCAGAAAGGGGAGAGTCTAGGCACATACCCAGGTCTCCTGAGCCCACAGGAAGGAAGCCTGCACTTCCCACTGGAGCCGAGCTAAAGGGGATACATCAGGTTAACCCAAAGCGACACCGACTAACAGTTATATTTTGTACATGAAACTCAGACGACTTTTTATCCTTGAGAACATCTAAATGTTGTCTGACCTCTGAGATATAGAAGTCTTAAGTAGACACACATGAATTTTAGTTCTACACCTGAAACAACTCACAGGCGGTCCAGGTGGTCCAGGTCTCCCCGGAGGCCCCTCACTGCCCTGCAAGGGATATTCAGATCAAAAATCAGTGCTGTAGACATTTCTACCCCCGGTTTATGAACCAGATTGTACTTGCTCTGAGAGCTGTATTCTGAAATCAATATGAGTTGTCATTTTGTTTCGGCCTTGCAAAGTCTTATTTAGCTTGGCTTTTCTCTTTCACCTGAGAAATACATTTCTAGACCACAGGCAAGGTAAACACCTTCTCCCACACCCCTTGCAATTCTTACTGCAGGACTTTTTTTTAGATGTAGCCAGACAACCTAGGTGATTGCATCCTGGACTCCGAAAGCAAATGGGGAGCTCTCCCCTTGGGGGAGATGCAGAGCAGAGTTCCTGCAAGTGGGGAACAGGCCATGAGATACGGCTCTTTGGGTCGTCAGCCCCTCACTTTGGCCTCACCTCCACACCTTCATCCTTTGGGAACCAGAGGGTTCATCTGCACAATTTGATCAAAGTAGAAAATCACAACCTGTTTCGTGTCTGCAGGAGGAGAAACTTCTTTCACGTCCTAAGTTAATATTAGACTTTCTAACCAAGTCAGGCTTGTACCACTGAGCAGAAGTGACTGTGGTTTGATGCTGCTCAAGGAAAATGTTCTGTGCAGTTTAAACAGACTCAGACATTTTGCTTACAGGAGAAGCCGACTGCAAATGGAATTTGTGAAAAATGAATTCAAGTTGAAGCTTGAAAACTGGATTTCACTTTTATTTTTATAAAGCACAGAATGCTTATTGGCCCATAATAAGCAGAGGTATCACAGTCCCTTTGGTGCCTTTAATAAGTTCTTGTAACTTTCCTTTTAGAACTTCCTTTTCAGTCCCTTACTATGAGGAGTGATGGCAAGAAGTGGTTAATTATAAAAGAATTCAGAGAGAGTAAAATCCCTACTTACCATGGCCAAGAATTCTGAAAGATTTCAGCCCATTTCCAGAAATTTAACGAAGGATTTTATTCCAGTCTCACCATTTTTAAAGGAAAATATCATTTAAAAAACCTTTTGCTTGTATCTTTATCAATAAAAATAAACTGCTAAGTTTTTCTTGCAGTGTATATGACTAAGACTGAGGGACAACAAGTACATTGTATCCTTTCCCAAACTGCTTTGCTGGCGGCTCCCTCTCCAAGACATGTCACATTCTGCTGACTGCTGGAAGTGTCCTTCAGAGAATGACATCATAGTTCTCACGAACTATGAGAGGACAACAAACAAGGAAAAATATGTGCCTATTGAAAAGACTTTTTTCTGGCACAATTAAAAGTCATATTTTCATTCTCGACTATGCCCCAAAGCTCATCTCAGTGTGGAATTCCCATTAACTTCAAAAGGCAAACCTCTGACTGAATAATTTCCATAGAGAACAGAGGAAAAAGGCTGGTGGGGTTGGGCAAGCTCCTTGGAACACTGTCAGAAAAACATGTGTGGAGACTATCTAGAATAAGCACATTCTTTCCTTTTGAACTTTTTGGGATTCCTTTGTTCCTGGATGCCGTTTTGCCCCATGTTGGTCATTTCAGGGTAGAGGCCACTTGCGTGCCTTATGTGGACTTTCGATCCTTACTTCCCTCATCTGAATGGCTAGTCTTGCTTCACTCATTGGCAGGCTCTGTCTGGATTCATACTATGGGGACAGTTTAGCTCCTAAATCAGCTAAATGTGTGAAGCCCTATGGCCTTGCTGCCTGTGTCCTGAATTGTTGCTCCTCCCTTCTGACTACAGCGGCCTCCCCAGGAAACAAGCTGTCCTGGTTCCGTAGTATGTTTCCCCATATGACCCTCAAATAACAGAACTTCCCGATCTTCCCAGCAAGCCCTGCGGTTACTGGAATCCTGGTCCTGAGGCCTGGCTCCCCTGTGGCTGGACCTCCTGACATGCAGGTGCAGGTGTCTGTGTACATGCACCTCTCAGGAGGCTGCTCCCACACCCCCCTTCCACAAAGCGACATGCCCAGGACGCTGGATCCAGCTTGGCCTTGTGCCATATGGGACTCATGTTCTCTTCATCCTGTCCTCTAGGAACTCACTTCCTGTATTCATTCAGACCAACTTTTGGACCTATGTCCTTCCAAGCCCACTATCAGAACAGCCATTCCCGGACATCATTTATCCTTTCAGGCTTGCATGAAGTGATGGATCTCTCCGTAGGAGGTCTCAAGCTGCCCCTCCCCGGCCCCAGTGCAAACACTAAGTGAGGCCCTTCCTCCGTACCTTGTCACCCTTCGTCCCAGAGGGACCAGGATGTCCAGTTCTTCCCAATGAGCCCTGTGAAAACACAAAACCAAGTTTGCTACAGAAAACAACAACCAAGTGCCCAAACGGTATTGTAAGTTGGTCTAAAATGGATACATTTTGAAGGTCATTTAATCCTAATTAAATCTGTCCTACAAGCTTCCATTTCTTCAGGCTGATACAGCAGCTGTATCCTGCTGATAAGCTCTTGCAAGGGTAAAATTTGTATTTGTGGTTGCTTTTCACCTTGGCCAACTACATTTAATGACCTTAATTGGAACCTTTTGATACATTTAAGAATTTAGCTTTGCTGTTTAAATGGCAATTTACATAACATTATGCCTTCCTAAATGAGCTACAATTTTGGTAGTGATCAACATTTTACATACTTCAAGACGAGGCAGAATTAACAATGTGCATATTGAGTTATGTGATCTGCAATTTACCAGTGGAAAATAAAATTTAATTTTAATTATTTTTTGAGAACAGAGTTTGCTATAATTTTCATGGTTCCTTTCCTAACTCTTTTTCTTAATTTTTAATTTTAGTCTTCAATTTAAAGCCTGGTTTGTTCTATGTAACTGTGGTCAAAGCACAAATGATAAAATTTTAATTATGGCAAATCCATGATTCAAAACATTAAGGAACGTGATTATATTCCTACTTGTGTGGTAAATACCGTTTGCACAGGAACTCTAAGAAGGGAAAAGTTGGAGAAGTTAAGACTTGAGTAGTGTTGCTATATTTAGCAAATAAAAATACAATATTTGGGCCCTGGCCAGTGTGGCTCAGTTGGCTGGGGTATCGTCTTGTGCACCAAATGGTTGGGGGGTTGGTTCCAGGTAAGAGCACATGCCTGGGTTGTGGGTGTGATCCCTGGTGGGGTTGTGTGCCGCAGGCAACTCATCTGTTTCTCTCTCACACTGATGTTTCTCTCTCTTTCTCTCCTGTCTTCTGTCTCTAAAAATCAATGAAAAAACATATCCTTGGGTGAGGATTTAAAAAAATATACAATATTTGGGACATTCTAAAAAATTGTTCATATGAAATTCAAATTAAACTGCATCTCCTGTATTTTAATTGGAAACATTAGACTTGAGCTTTACTTTAATGAGAGATTGGATTTAGTAGGTAGAAAAGGAAAAGAGATTATATTAAAACAGTATAACCCAAGACACAAAGGACACGATGTTGTGTCTGAGGGGCAGTGGAAAATGGTACTGAGTAGAGCGTATTTTAATTCATAAATAGGAATAGAAATACATTGAACCTGATGATCCTTGACTCATTTCTTTTCCCTATAGAAAATAAATTCTTAGTTTATGGTGCTTAAGAATGTAAGGGTGTAACCATCTAAATATCTCTTCCAAAGGTGAATGCCAAAAACTACAACTGCAAATGGAATGCTCTTTTCTAGTCAGCTTTAGTCTGATCTGGTAGAATTCTGACAACTAATCTCCAAATCTTGAGCAACCTTAAGTAATACTAGATGAAAATCTGAGATGGTCAATGTTACTTTTCTATGCAACAGCTGAATAATCTACATGGAAGCACACAAGGAACAAAAAGCAATGAGAAATATTAGTTCGCCTTTCATCATTCCAGCAGATATGAACCATGAGCAGGTTAGTTTTAGCAAATAAATACTTACAGGGGGTCCAGTTGGGCCTGGGGCTCCTGGGATACCTGGCATTCCCTGAAGACCCTAGAAGAGATAGTTTCTAGCATAAAATCTATTATATATAACTGAAAAAAGGATATTTTAGTTAATTAAATACTTTGGCTACTGAAAATTAAATAGCTATGTTGACTAATCGAAAACCGTGATATATGCCATATTGCAAATACCTGTTTTCAAAGAGTAAGGATGGTGAGCTTAAATGCTGTGACATGGAATCCATAACAAACATAATTTAATATATTTGGTGATTCACAGAGCATTTCTGATCTCTCAGAGCCACCCACCAACAATAGCATCACTGAGAATCCCACACTGTTAAAGCATAGAAATAAAAATTTCAGATTGGCAGAACGCCATCCAAGAAATATATGACTACACTAATGCTTTGCTCAGCTAGTAGAAAAATGGAATATATTTTATGATATAATATTTAGTTTAGCTGACAGGTTCATTATAAGAAGAAATTTGGCTCATTGATGAATTTAAATTTGGAATCCTTTAATAGCTTAAGCATAAAAGAGAATGGATATCTCTTCCCTTACCTCCTTGGATTTGTGGAATAATGCTAATTATACTGGATAGGGTTTAAGATGTCAGTATATTTATATATTCAAGGAATAACTGGCAAGATTAACTGGTTACTTGAGTAATTAATTTTGTTCCTTTACCAAGTATGCCAATAACAGAATATTAGTTAAATCAGCTACATAAAATCTATACTATGAACTATTTTGCAACTATTAAAATCATATTGAGGCAAACTACTGGATAACATGGAAAAATAAAAGTTGCAAATATTACATAGAGTAGGGTCCAAATTATTAAAAAGTTATCAATGCACTTTATGAAAGATGAGAACAATAAACAGGGGCTCATCATGCCTTCTCCGGAAACTTCAGTGTCAGATGTGTTTCAGAGTTCTGAATTTTCAGACTTTTAAATACAGCTAACACAGTGCCCATACTGGATATTAGGTAATACTTCCAATGGTATCTGAGGCAGCATCCTTTAATAAACACACAAATACTTCCATAGCAAAACATATGGTATTCTCACTGAGTGGGATAAATAGCCCAGCTCCTTGTAAACTCAGGTCAGATTTTGTTGCCAAATGAATTTGCTGCAAACCTGGAAAAAACTTCCAGGGTTTTCAGAGGCTTTTGAGGTTTGGAGTTGTGGATAAGGAGTGAGCTATAATATCACTATTCCAAACAGTTCTCCCTGGGCAGTGCAAACAGAAATAACTTCCTTTTTCCAGTGCTTCTGTGTCTTTCCCAAATTTTCTATAATAAACTTAGATGACTTCCAAAATCAGAAAAAAATATACTTTTAAAAATACCCTTTTGTTATTTCAGATAACCATATGATGCATGAAGTCCTAGATTAAATAGTTTCACTTTTAGGATTTAATTTTCTTCACTAAGTGATCTTTTTATATTGCCAAACCATTCCTTTTTAGAATAAAGTTCCTTTACTTTTTAATGTGATGAAATATGTATTTTCAAACACATTATAAATATTAGATGAGGTGACATTGGTAAAATGACTGTGTATTTCTTCATGAGGATTCTACAGAACCATGATTCTATAGGATCAAGGTTCTTTGCATCAATGGGTTCAAAGACCAAGCTCTGCTAGTCTTGTCTGTCTAATGCCAGATGGGATCATATGTTACTTCAGGATTTTTCATGTGGTATGATGTGAATAAATGCTGGAAAGAACCTCCCTGAAGATGCTGAAATTCCTCATGTAATAAGAATCTTGGGTAAAATCTTGTATATGCTTGTGTTAAAGAATGAGACATGCCATTTGTGCCTGAGAATTTTATTCTCCCTTCTTTTTAACTTCCCCTTTAAGTTTTCCTAAGAGTTTATACTTTGGGAATGCAAAAACCAAGGAGACTTGTGGGCTATTTCTGCTTTTTCTTTAGCTGCATACCTCCTTCAAGGCAGCGATCACAGAGCTCCATGCTTGAATGCAAGGTAAGATGAGGGAAAAACAAAGATGATAACCCCATAGATTCATATCTCAAAATAGCTTCCAGCCACATAGACTGATCATGAGCTGAATAAAGGTGAAGCCATAGTTTTTATTTTATTAAATCAAATCCATTGGTCTATCTTGCATTTGAAAATCACACTTCTGTCATTAAAAAAATAATAAATAAAGAATGTGGACATATTCTTTCTTCAAGATGATATCATACTCACTGGTAATGCTGTGTGTGAGTACATGTACATGTGTGAACGGTATGCATTAGGAGATTTACTAGCTCTTTTTATTCCCTCACCATTAACTTGTTTACAGGTGTATAAATGGAGAGAAAACAAATTTCCTTTGGCAACACCACCTCTAAATATCTGGAGATTATAAATGTGATACCACAAATTGTTTTATCTCAAAACACTTGCATCTTCATAAAATTCTCTCCATATGTACATGTATAAAATATGCATGTACATATGTATTCTTTTGATTTTTGGCTACTTTTAGTTTCAACACTGCATCATTCTAGAGATGCTGAGTGAGTCTTTAGGTAGTCTAATTTATAAGCTTGGGACTCATTAACCTTTGATGACCACATTAAACTTTAAAATAAACCTCAGTCCATAAATAAAAAAATCATTCTCAGCAGTCTTTTTCTGAACGACCTGAAATTTTGTAGTAAGGGTAAAAGTTACTGCAGATGCGTAAAGGGCAATAAGATAATTTTAGAAGACAAGATGGTCATTAAAGAAGACGAATACATATTAAAGAGTAGGACAGTCGATTTAGCATATAGTGCCAAACTAAAATACAAATTAAAATTTATTGCATAGATATTCAGGGACCACTAAGTTCTTTCCGTGCTCTGATATTTTCATTTTGCAAGTCCTAGCTCAGTTGCTACCAAGAAAATTTATTTATTCATTGTAATAATTTATGGCTAAAAATATTTTCACATCCTACTTATAAATTATTATCCTGAGATACTGTAGGAAGTCCTGCATTCCAAGCAAGAATTTACTCTCACTATAAGAGGTGTGTTCTATTAGCAGCTTACAAGTTGCAACCTTGAGTTGTGAAACAACACCTGTAAAACCATGGAGGAGCCCTGGCCGATTTGGCTCAGCGGTTAGAGCATCGGCCTGCGGTCCGGAGAGACCCGGGTTTGGTTCCCGCTAAGGGCATGTACCTCGGTTGCAGTTTGTCCCCGGCCCTGGTTGGTTGTGCGGGTGGCGACCACTCGATGTGTCCCTTTCACATCGATGTTTCTCTCTCTCTCTTTTTCTCTCTCTCCCTCCCACTCTATCTGAACAAAGAATGGAAAAATGTCCTCGGGTGAGGATGATAAAAAAAAGAAAAAAAAAAACATGGAGGAGAACGTCACTTTTCTAAGAGCTATAGAGGGACAACAACTCCCTCTAAGTGCCTAGATAGATTAAATTGAAGACATAATAATTAGAAGTCCTCAATGAGATGGGGTGTCCCTTTTTACCTTTTCTATTAAGAGTAGAACAGACATTTGGGATTTGGTAGGATTAAATATTATATACATATTAAAATAGTATAGTACATTAGTCAGTCAGAAATGCAGATAGTCTCCGTCAGTTTCATTCACTTAAGTTAACAATTCTAATTTCAGGTAGTATATGAGTCCAAGTAGAAGACAAGTTATATTTACTCTTTCGCATCTGTCTGACAGGCACGTGCTGCCTTGCCACATTCCCCCCAATACGGTCTGCCTGAGCTAGCACATTACTTCAGGTGTATTCATATGCTTTGTGTGATGTGAAGAAAAAAACTGAAAACCATCTTTCTCAACTTGCTCCAACTCCCATGTAATGAATCTTGTAAAAAATTTGTGTACTCTGTGTTAAAAAGTCCACAAGGTATACTTAAGAAAGAACACACTAAAATAGTAGAAAAATAATAATAATAATGGATTATAGTTCACCAAGAGGACAAATTATCCTGTTAAATCAATAAAATTTAACTTCTAATAAATTTAACTTAGCATCACGTATAAAAAACCCGAATTCCAATTATTTCCTTGTCTTTTTGTCATTACCTTCTCAATTGCCTCTGAAGCCTATCTCTTGAATCTAGGCAGTTAAAAGCTGTTAGACTAATAAAATCAGATGTTGTGCTTGTACTTCAAATGAAACGTTCTATGGAGTATGAAGAGCAAAAGCTCAATAACTCTTATTTAATTTGAAAATAAAATACTTTTACAGTTTTATTTATGAGTGAAACTAAGGCTTATGAATGAAAAGACATAGTCTATTTCTTTGTTCTTCAGTTTTTAACTTGGAAAGAATCAAGAGCCAATTCTCAGTTTTCTAGAATAAAATCAATATTAATGAAAAACAATAACACACGATGATCATTTATAATGTGAAATATAACTCCAACTCAAAAAATAGACCTACTTCATTTCATTATGATTTTCTGCACTCACATCAAGGTTAATATATGCCAGATGGCTTACTTACTTTCATTAAGAATTATTAGTATCAAAACTCTTTAAACTAACAACAATTCATCATCCTAATTGGTTTTTCTACAACTTAATGTGAATTATGCAGGAAAAGAATGATATCCTGAGCATCACCATGGCTTCGAGTCAGAAAATTATACCATCATCTCAAAAGCACATTTGACTTTGAAGCTTAGTTAGGGGGTGGGCAGCTGATTTAAGCTAGTCCAATCAGATTCTTTTCTCCCAAGAGTTTGAAAGTTGAGCAGAGACACGGACAAACCAAGGTCACTGAAGCTAAGTCATGTTATAGCAGGATTCCAGAGAAGTTTTTCTGAGTTCTGGGGCTGTTCTTATCTCTAGGCTGATTGTTAACTACCCTTTTTCCTTTTCTTTTTAAAAAAATTTATCTTTATTGTTGAAAGTATTATAGATGTCCCTACATTTTCTTTTCTTTTCTTTTCTTTTCTTTTCTTTTCTTTTCTTTTCTTTTCTTTTCTTTTCTTTTCTTTTCTTTTCTTTTCTTTTCTTATCTCTAGGCTGGTGATTAATTATCCTTTCAATTCTACTAGTTAGCTACCTTGGGATATTTGTCAGTGAATCTCCCCTTCTTCAATCTCTTGCTTTTACTTTGAGAGAGCTGGAATTATCATTTGCTACGTGAAAAGAGAAACAGTAATTGATATGTTAATGTTGTGCTTTAATTTCCTTGTCTCAAAAACTGGACCACTGATAATAAACCTAAACCTGTTACTATTTAAAAAACATGAGCCCTAGAGAAATTGATGTCTTTATTTTGCTGAGTTACATAAAAAAGAATCAACAGCACTATATTATAAGAGAATAATCTTTTACCTCATCGCCTTTCTCCCCAGGTATCCCAGGGTAGCCCCGTTCTCCTTTGCTTCCCTAAAAAGACAATAAATTCTGCTAGTACACTCAACCATTTTGTCATCTTTTGAAACAATGACAATATCTCTTCTCAGGACCCTTGGGCCACGCAATTTGGGCAGAGTTAGGGAACAAATAAATGACATTTGCAAATGGCTTTATACCAATTTTCCAAAATATTTTTGCAAAATGTAGCGTATTTAAAAATAGGTTTACTTTTTTCTGGAGGTTGCACAAATGAGAGTGAAGAAGAGTTCCTTACCTTTGGTCCCTCTCTGCCCGGGATTCCTGGAGGACCCCGTGGCCCTGTGTCACCCTGGAGGACAGAGCAGTGACAGATCTGAGAGAAGACACTACATGTCATCTAGGAGGCCCATCAACATCCAGCCTGCCTTCTTACCTTTCGGGCCACAGAATCATACTTTCCAGGCTCACCAGCACCTCCTTCTTCTCCTTTGTTACTTTTCAGCCCTGGGACACCGGTTTGGCAGTTGCCACAAAAGTTCTAATGAGTATAAAGATAAGGTGACTGAGAGATTCATCAAAAGCATCTGTAAAACCAAGGTTTGATCAAATTTGAAGTTCTATTTGAACTTCTGTCAGAGATAAATGATAGAGCAATTGCTATATCATCACTTTCAGAAACTTAAATTATCCTAGTTGAAAAGACTACTTTTTGTGAGGTAAAGACTACTTATGACCCTAGTCAATGATATCTGTTTATGATATTGGTGAGCTTCTATTTTAGAAAACATATCTATGGTGATATTTAAATGGAAAGTTCTAAATAAATAAGGAAAAGACGTGTCAGTTAATAACACAGAGTGAATTTCAATTGCTTAGCATCATGTTTAAAAAAAGAGGCAGAAAAATTAAGACTAAAAAGAGAGGTAGTATTAATGTTGGGAATAACCAGCAAGATTACAAGTTCATACAACCAATAGCATCCATTCTTTTTTTTTTAGTCCTCATCCGAGGACATTTTTTTTTCCATTTTTTGTACAGAGTGGGAGGGAGAGAGAGGAAGAGAGAGAGAGAGAAACATCGATGTGAAAGGGACACATCGAGTGGCTGCCACCCGCACGACCAACTAGGGCCGGGGACAAACTGCAACCGAGGTACATGCCCTTAGCGGGAACCGAACCCGGGTCTCTCCGGACCGCAGGTGGATGCTCTAACCGCTGAGCCAAACTGGCCAGGGCCAATAGCATCCATTCTTAAAAGAGAACGCGAAAGCTGTGAAGGAAGGATTTTTCCTTTTGAGAGCAAAATTAGTTGGGAAACTCTACACAGTTTACCAACATTTTATTTGTCAGTGGAAGCACTCATGTGGGAAATAGTGACTCAAGTGACTTGGGCTTGACTTCTATATCAAATCCAAATACAGATAGGAAATCTAAGCAGAATTACCTTTCCATTACCTTCTCTGTAACCTTTAGCGGATCTGGAAAGGCTTGAATTTAAGTGTCTGAGCTCACAAGATAAACTTCTTATCACATAGCCCAAGAAAAAGTGTCTGTGAGAAGCCCTAGAAAGGCTTATTTTTAAATAAATTGTTGAATAAAAATGTGATCAGGAAGAGCACAGAGTAGGAACCACTGAATGGTGGAGAAAGTTTAGTTTTAACAGTTGACAGAGGTAGGACAATAGAAGCCTCTATCCCTTCATCCTTTCCACCAAAGGGAAGAATCTGTAAACATGAAACGGGAACTAAACTTGCTATTGCTGAGGTTAGCAAAAAATATGCCCATGGTTATTCAAGTTCAATATTTTTGACCCAGTGAATATCAGCATAAGTCTGACTTCCTAAAATATGCTCCTTGGAAGACTCATTTTGTATGATAGTAAAAAGATTCTAAGGCTATTTGTCTAAGAACAATGGTGGGCCAAAGAGTCCTCTTCATGGTGGTCCTTCTTAGAGCAGGGATATAAAAGGGAGCTAAAGTGCTCAGTGTTTCCCAAACTAATTTTACCATTAGGGTCTTCTCACAGTGCCATTGTGTTGGTAGAGGAGTTAAAAAATACATATATAATTGTAGACTACCACTTATAATATCTGAAAAACTATAATGAGAGAAAGAGATGCCTGAGGACGTAAGAGAACCAAAAAGTTTTTCACATTTAAAAAAGCATGAAGAAGATGAATTATTGTACATGTAGACATACATGTAAATGTGGCATAGCAGTACAGAGTAAAACCCTGGCATATCAAGATACAATAGCATTTTAGCATTGATTATCCAATTGATTATTTTAATAAAATATAACAAATGGTAATCATTTTGAATCAATAGAATTTTCTAAGAGTCATTTCAAACTGACCTCACTTACTTTAGTTTAGGGTTACCAGAATGATAAATTAAGGGAATCAAGATTTTATTAAGCTTCTTGAAAAAATGTCAAGATTTTAGTACGAAGAGAATAAGGATGCATCAATCAGCCCAATACACAATCTCATTCAAAGAGGGAATGATGCACAGATTAACATATAGGGTGGTTTTTGATGGGGTATCATTTGGACCTGGAATTATTTCAGTTCTTTTCCATACTTTAATGAAAGATACTTTTGAAAACAGAAAGCAGGATGATTAAGCTTACTAACGACTCAAGACAGAGAAGGAGAGTTAATGAGTTGGGTAACTGGCTCAGGACTTATAATGGCATTACTAAGTTGGCCTAATAGATCCAATCCCCAGTCTAAATTCCTGTATTAGATTTTGCTTTGGGAAACTACATACTTTCCTGTTCTACTGAATACAGTTTGTTGGGACTCTCAGTCAAAACGTCCTGCCGGCCTCTCACCAATCAGCTCTCCTGGGTCTCAGAACCCCATTTGAAATGCTGGGACTGGAACAATGACCAACAACTCTTATTAGAGGGATGCTGCCCTGATAAAACTGTCTACTTACAAGAGCCTTGCAGTCCTGGTCCCTCATCTTGTCAAAGCCTATTTGGTCTTTCTGTCTGTTCTGTGAGCCACCCCCTATTCTATCGGGATATTCATTTCTGCTAACGTGTATACATTTTTGATCCTTAGAATAAAAAACCCGAACTATTTTGAAATGCTATAACACTTACAATTCTGCCGTTTCCAACACTACTGCCCTTGTAAAGAACCCGAGACAATGTTCAAGGACGTTACACTTGCGAGCTGTGTGACCCTGAGCAAATTACTTACCTGCTCGGAACTTCAGTCTCCCATCTACAGAATGGGGATACTACCACAGCCTAAACTCACAGGATTGTTGTGAAATTATGTGAGAGGATCTAAGTAAAGTAGCACACTGCCTGGCACATGCTGTAACTCAGTAAACATAAGATCTTCCTGAAACTCCCCAAAATATTCTCTTCTGATTTACAAGAAAATATTGGCTTTTGAAGTTCTTAAAAACTTCTGTAATATATTTTATATATATTCATATTTACATTTATATATCTATTCTCAAAACTTGAATCACCTAACAAATACATACACTAGAATTTCTGAGTGTTTTGAGTTCAACAAATATTCCTGCCTGCCTTCTATTACGTAAGTCATGGTGTAAAACACTGGGCAAATGTTAGGAATATATAATCACACACACACACACATACACACACACAGCCCAAGTGTATGTGTGTATACACAGATACACTGTCCATTCATACACAGAAAGATAAAACACATACGATTTGAGTATAATGTAAAGAGACAGATTTTCATCTGGGTTCAATCCACCTTAGCATACCACGAAGAAACATGCAAATACGTCGTGTTATGGGAGTCCCACCATCATATGTCCAACATCTATTTTACAAATAAAACTCTGGGAAGTATTAGAGAAAAATGGTAGCAAGATGTATTCCCTATAAGATGGAAATAGGTAGGTATATATTTTTTGTTTAATAGAGTAACAGGTGTTAGGGCAGTTGTTGGCTTTGGAACTTTAGAGTTCATTTTGTAAAATCCCATGTTATCAAACCTCAGCCTTGCAAACTAGCTGTTTATTGAGCAGCACTGGTTTTCATTTGGTCTGGCCAGGGCAGGTACAGAGAGAAGGATTAGGTTTCTCAGGTGAGTCAGGTTGAGTAAACACCCGTTAAGAGAGAAGAGAATGATCTACTCAAGGGTGTCAGAGGCAGGATTCCTTCCCTGTAGCTCATCTTAGAATGTTCTTCCCCCTCCCAAAATGAGGGGGTGGTAATTGAAGAAGAGAGTAGAGGGATTAGTATAAAGGGCGTAAGTTACATAAAAATATGTGTTCGTTTTTCTAGCTTACAGATGTTCTGCCACTTAAAAACTGAATTTTAGTTCAGGCTTAGCAATTAACTCAATTTCTGGTAAAGATTTCCTTTCTGATTTTTCCTGGAAATTAACATGTAATTTCTTACATAGCAGCAAAGTACCTTGAGCAAAACACCGATGTCTCCCAAGAGAGGAAGTGCAATCTGTGGTTGAGAGAGAAGCAAATACACGTATTTGTCCATCTACAGGCACACAATACAATACAAACGTACAACACAGTGGGGGAATTCTTGAGAAGCAGTCCTTATTCCTCTACTGTGAACACCCAACACATGCACATTATTGCTTTGATTCTGCAGCTCTATTTTGCACTTTCATGACCATGGCAACCTTTATGCCAGCCCTAACATATTATTGGTTTTACACTTGATCTTTGCCAAAAGGCTGAGAAACAATTTACTGTTAGTTTAAAATAATACATAAAAGGTAAAAACCAATCCTCTGCCTGGCAAATTATCAGGCTGTTGAAAAATATGAAAATTATAGGATGCATTTGCCTTAAAGTTCTTTCTCACTGAAGCTTAAAAGAGGCAGGTCAGATATGGAGGGAATTTGGGCAGTGTTTCGGCCTCATGTCTCAAAGTGTCCTTTCAAAGTGACACTGTAAGCCCCAGAAACACTTTATAAGATTCCCAGGTGGCACACCAGATTCACTCAGTGGTAGAGTTCAAGTACAGCTGAAATATGCCTCTCCATGTAGCTTATAAAGGCACATAGGGCCCAACCAGAGTGGGAAGGAGACGGATTTGTGAGGTTCAGTACTGAGAGGCCAGATTTGGATTTTATTCCACAAAACTCTTCATACAATGTCATGTACCATATGGCCTCTCAAATTACAGTTGCTGATTCTGAGGCTATTTAAAGATTTCACTGTCGCTCAAAGCAAGGTTTAACCTAAAATAAAACTGTGGAACACACAATTAGTGCCTAAACTCATCTTGTAAGAGCCAAATCAAGCCACTTTTTATAATTTAATCATTCCAGCATTTTAAAGCCACAGAATCGATGGATATGCAGCATATTGTAAGTAACTTACCTGCAAACTTCCATTTAGGGAAATGAAACTTGTTTAGTCACCAGCATTAGAAAGAATAGAAACTGTGGCTATATATTTTAACTCAATTTTCCATGGGAATGAGACATGATATGCCAAGGCTAAGCCTGGGGCAAAATTGTACAGCTGAATTATACCCTTAGGAAATAAGTATTCATCACACACACAAAAAATGCTGACACAGCTTGAATTTTTTTCCCCTCTACAAAATAATGGGGACAAACAAAATCACCAGGCAGTCACTGTGCATTCTAATTAGTTTGGACAGTAAAACTTGCTTGGTAGGCTGTTTGGCCTCTAGGTGTATTAAAGATACATAAATCAGGCTGTCTGTTGACATACCGGGTCTCCTGGGGGGCCTGGCAGACCTGGCTTTCCATCCCTCCCTGGAGCTCCCTGAAAACAGAAACAGGTTCAAATCTTGGCACAGTGGCACAGGTGCAGATTAAAACAGTGTGTGGTCGGGGGAGGGGTAGGTCAAGACTGTACTTACATCATTCCCTGGAGTTCCTGGCAATCCAGGGAGACCTCGAGGACCCTGGAAAAAGGGGAAACAGTTAAGTATGAGGACAGTCTTCCAGTAATTTCCCCCAAGTAAGCAAGCTGGATTTGTTGTGCCTAATAACCTGGTTAAGTAGCTCACCTGAATACCTGGCTCTCCAGCTGGTCCTTGGGAGCCCTAAGTAGAAGGAGATCCAATGATGAGATTTCTGCCAGGAATGTCCATAAATTATCCAAGTGGGATCAAGCACTACGTATTGCAATTGACTTAGTGGAACAACAGGGCTTGCCATCATGCACACTCTGAAAACTCTCTGCAAAATCAGCCAAGACCTTCAGGAGACAGGTGAACTTTTCCCTAGATGCCTGTTACTGGAAATATCCACACAGTTTTGCTCAGGTGCCTGGGATGTCCCTCTCAGCACCATCATCTGTCCCTGCACTTCACAGATGCACAAACAACACATCCAAATTCTATCTGTTCAGAAACTGACTGCCCACGAGGTAACTGGATCCGAGCTTCCTTCCCCTTCTGCTTCTACTGCGCGTCATTTCTCTGTTTGAAGAAATTTCCAGAACCAGTGTTGAGTGACAGGTGTATGAAGTAAAACATCAGTCAGTTGTCTGTTTCTACTTCAGCAAATTGGAATTTGGAGTAACTAAAGTGAGGCTGGGTGATGCTCAGTGGCCCTGATGTTGATAGCTCTAAGCCTGGTATACAGCTGTGGACCATGGAATGAGGAATTGCAACTAAGGAAGTAAAGAGCTGGTTTTCCTGCAGCTGGCTTCAGTAACTGCTCATAGACATTGCCTTATTTTTAAAAATAAATATTCACATCACTATTATTAGTGCCAAAGCTCCTTTTGCTCCTTTTCCAATTCATAATGTGTTGTTACTATTTTTTATTATTTCTGTGCTTCAACTTCCTCCACTCCCCTAATAATTTTCTGAGCTACTTCTTTTTTTTTTTTTTACTTTGTTTAATTCCCATCTCCAGTGGTCTTTTACATTCTTGCCCTGGAAAATCAAACACCAGTCACACAACATAGCCATTCACTATTGATACCTTCTTTTAGCTCTCGTGATAACTTCATTACAAGACCAATTTTCCAAATTAGTGCCATTAAAATAAGCATGTACTTCACTTTTCTTGTCCCAGAATCTTTATGTTTTTTAATAGCAAGTAAAAAACTTTATTGCTTATCACTGTTTAGTCAACAAGTGTGTGTGCACGGGTCATTATACCAGGCACTGACTTTATAACCAAAACATGTCGAAAACTGGCTAGTCTTTGTCTTCACTATTAAGAACAACTTCTATTCCCTCTTCTTTAAGAGAATACTTATAGATTTTTTATATTATCCCATTTATAATACCCCATTCGCTTTAAATATTAACTTTTTATTTTATTCTAGTTAAAAACAAACAGTAATATATAATAACCTAATATTAAGTATTCCTATGCTCATACTTTTTACTATATAGAGAAATAAACGGTTAAATAACTGTTTCTATTGCAAAGTCAGTGTATGTGTGAACAGCCTCTGTAAGTCAATACATGGTGAGCGACCTCCCTGTACTTAGTGACGTCACCTCAACGTCCTTTAATTCTCTCCCTCTGACTAGTGTTTCCTGGTATTTCCTCCTCAGACTATTTTATTCTTTTCTCCCTTTCAAATTCGTCACTGTACTTGATTTCAAAACACTGGAATCAACAGAGTTTCAAAAACTCAATAGAATTTCACTTACTGTTCGGCCAGGAATTCCTACCCCTGGCGGGCCCACGTCCCCTGGGGAGCCGTGGACACCGGGCAGCCCTCTTTCACCCTAGAGAGAGGAGCCTCTGTTAGTGCAATGCCCGAGGGATGTGAGATTTCTGGCTGTATTTTATTAATTATTAATTCTTTAAAAAGTGTCTGTGATATTTTTATACCTTAGGCCCACGTGGGCCAGGTGCGCCAGGATGTCCATCTAATCCCTAAAGGAAAAAAAGAAAAAAGAGGTGAATACATTTCTTTTTCTAAGAAGGTTAATAACATTTTAGAAATCATAACTCAAAAATGTTGTATTGCTCTTCATCTTTCTTGACTAAACTTTTTTCTATAAAATAATAATAAATGAGGTATACAAATTTTAGTAGGTTATGGGTTCTGTATCGTTACATTAAAATATGTTTTCATCTTTAAAATAAGGCATCTGATACTGAGAACTATTTTTTATTATTAATTAATATAAAAGGCCAAAGGGGATGAGAAAATGCACATAAAAAAAGGCATAGTCATTATTTAGATGTTTCCAGCTAACCAGTTTTTTATGTCCTGGGAGCAGCCTGGGCTACCAGGACATTTTCTTCAGATGACCACCTGTGGCCACACCTGCAGAGCTCCCCAAAAAGGAAATTTCAAGCAGTTCTGTTTTAATATAGTGTCCTAGGAAGGTTTATGGTTTAAAACTGGTGTTCCTTACTAGGCGCCATAGATCCCCAAAGAACCAATGCCCTCTGCTGAGGGGCCTACGAAGCTTCCAAGATGGGCTGTAGGATGGTGTGTGTATGCGTGTGTTCTTCAGAAGAAAGGCCTTTGCTTGCATCAAATTTCCAGAGAGATTAGGTCTCTCATCTGAAGAACACAATGAATATTTATTTTTCTGCAGATCTAAACATGTTCCTATACTGGGGATCTGAAACTGGGAGCACACAAACTCTAATAAACAATCTGCCAAGGGAAGTGTTAGCCAAAGGGCTGGTACTTACTGGTTCTCCCGGCAGGCTTTTCCCTGGAGGACCAGCCTCCCCTTTCGAGCCTGGAAGCCCAGGAGGACCGACAATCCCTCCTGGATCTCCCTGAGAAAAACACAGTTAGATCCTCACTTCACCGTTCAGGCTCATGGTGGGAGGCACAGAGGCAGTACTTTCCAAAGTTTTTAGTTGTCATTATGACCAGTCAAACTTTATTCTTTCATTCATTCACTTATTCAACACTATTTACTAAGTGCCGAATTTATGCCAGGCACTGTTCCAGTGATCTTAAATGCATTTAGATTTTGTAGTGAATTAGACCATCTCTTAGTAGGTTAACAATAAGTTTAGCAGTATCATGACATCTTCATGTGCATACATATATGCACAATAAAGGCATTTATTCATAAAGTTCTTTAGCTGAGCTTTGTGTTTTCTTTTCGTTATTCCCCAGTAATGGTTCAATATTAATATACTATTTCCACATAGACATCAGGAAACAGGTCCTGAAAGATGGAAACGTCTTAGGTCTGTACCAGAGTCAGTAGCTGAGCCTGAAGCAAACTTTCTGAATCTTGAGATCTTCACCTCTAAGTTGGTTCATTTTGTCGTATTGTGTTTTTATGCCAGAACTAGGGCTGCCACAAATGCAAAGCTTCAGGTGGGATCATTCACACCACAGCTAAGTGGCTCTCCCCTGAACATTCTGGCAGCCCAGTCCTTTCTTTCACTCCCCCAACGCCCTTTGATCCTCTGCTTCTTCCTCTGCGTTAGCTACTTAACATACAAAACAAGTACATGGAAGCTGTACCTTTTCTCCTTTAATGCCTTGTTTTCCTGGAATACCATGTTCTCCTGGCAATCCCTAGATAATTCAGAATGAAAAGGAAAGAGCATTGAGAACATCTCCTATTCTAATAGCATTTCTATCTGTGAATCTTTGTCAGGAGAACAGAATTTTATTTTATTAAAAATTTTTTTTCTTTATTGATTTTTAGAGAGAGAGAAAAGGAGAGGGAGAAAGAGGAAGGAACATCGACAAGAGAGAACATTAATTGGCTGCCTCCTGCATGCCCCCCACTGGGAATTAGGCCTACAACCTGGGCAGGTGCCCTGATCAGGAATTGAACCAGCAACCTCCTGGTGCGTGGGTCGATGCTCAACCACTGAGCCACACCAGCCAGGCAGGAGAACAGAATTTTAACATATAAAGTGTATGGGGATGGGTTGATTTTGGTCTGTTCGAGAGGGAAAAACTTTAGTGAAAATATGTGGCTTGTTGTTTCAAGGGAAGTAACTGGCATGTAATGGGAAAGAAACTAAATAAGGGAGAGTTGAACCAAATGCTCCATCCATAATATTGCCAAGAAGGGGCGGACAATGATGGTTGGTAGCATCACATGGTTCAGGAGGACAACGGGGTAAATAGCAAAATATGATTTTGCTATATTTTAGCAACAGGGGCTCTTTCCCTTTTGATTTTGTCCTCTTTTTTAGCTCTAGCCACTATCGCTTCGCTTCGTGGGCATCTTGTGGCTCCATCTGTGCCACCAGCATTTTCTCTTTCCATAAGATCTCTTCACTAGGTACATCTGTAATGGTTCATTAACTAACTTCGGGGAGCAACAAAAAGCTTAGCTCTATGAACTGAATATTCAAAGGACCAAGCAGAACAAAATGCATTGAAAGACAGACCTCTGGAGCATGCAAAATAGGGCAAGAGGTCATGGGGCTGTCTCCAAGATGATGGCAAGAAGAGATTCTAGTACTTGTCTAGAGGGCACTGGAATTGTGGCCAAACAGAGATTAATTTCCAAGAATATATGGTCAAGCATTTTTCTTGCTTTGCTCAATTGAGGACTTATAGTGTGTCTCAGTTCCTAAGGTGTCAGAAGGCTAGGGAGGTTGTCCAAGGGACAAAAGGCCTAGGAACGCTTAGAAAAGAGCATTTAAAGGGTGTGTGTGTGTGTGTGAGAGAGAGAGAGAGAGAGAGAGAGAGAGAGAGAGAGACGAGAGGGAGAGGGAGAGGGAGAGGGAGAGGGAGAGGGAGAGGGAGAGGGAGAGGGAGAGGGAGAGGGAGAGGGAGAGGGAGAGGGAGAGGGAGAGAGGGAAAATGAATGAGTTCACTTTCAGGCTATAATACAACCTGAGAACCTTTCTCCAATTGCATTCTAGATATATTTTTAGCCAAACACTTGCTCTTTTTGGAGCCTCTCACAAGAAAACAACAACAGAGCCCGGCCGCTGTGGCCCAGTGGTTGAGCATCGACCCATGCACCAAGAGGTCACTGGTTTGATTCCCGGTCAGGGCACATGCACAGGTTGTGGGCCAATCCCCAGTGGGGGGTATGCAGGAGGCAACCAATCTGTGTTCTCTCTCATTGATGTTTCTATCTCTCTCTCCCTCTCCCTTCCTCTCTCTCTAAAATCAATAAAGAAAAAAATTTTTAAAAGAAGTATCTTTCTTTTTTCTTTTTTTTTAATGGAGAATCGTACCAAAGCCATGCATAATGAAAATACATGCTTTCTTCTTGGTTTTCCTTATTTCTTTTGATGCTTCCCATATTCTTTACTATTGGTACACCATTGACAAGCATGTCCAAATGATATTTTAGTTAACTTGTGTCCTAAAGACCAATTCATTAGGCTACTGATATTCAAAAGGACCTCACATGAATACATGAAGGAACTAGCCTTCCCAATAGCCCTGACATTAGGTGTGATTTGTTTTAGTGGTAGAAATGACCTATATCTTTGGGAAATGTAGTGTAACGCGGTCACATGAATAGATGCTGACATTGTTTAAAACAGCTCAGTCTTAATTTAATTTTCAAATATCAAAGACACTTGTATCTACTATACATACAATATCTCCTGGTGGTCCTCTGGGTCCCATAGAGCCTGCAGGTCCTTGCTGACCCTAAAATAGAAGGTGATATGTACTTTTAACTTGGCTAAAAATGTAGTACCTGAATACATATGAAACATGGTGTGAATTGTATCTGTAGAAAGGTCAACTTTCCATGATCCTACCTTCTCTGTATAACGATGAAATGTGCTTTGGGCTTACAAAGATTGCTTCAAGGTGTTCTCATTTAAATGGGTCTGTTCTCATTACCAGGAGAGGCCTGGATGACTTGCCTTACCTGTTGGTGGGAGCACCTCCCGTTAATCTCTGCATACCTCCCAATAGTGTCTTTCTTGGGACACTCCCCCAGAATCCCAGATGGGGGATTCATGCATCTCAGGGATGCACAATTTTGGCTTAGAAATTGAACCCTAAGTCCTGTTTACTTTAAGAATATATTTCAGGGTCATAGATTTAGCTCACATTGTTTACTCTTGAAACTTTTAGGGATGCTATTGTGAGTATGTTCTGAAAAAGAGTTTAAAAATCCTATTGTGAACCAAAAGGCACAGTCACAGTGTGGGGGAAAAATCACCATGGAAACACCGTAAGGCCTCTGAGAACACTGTGAAGAAAATAAGTAGCACTGGAGCACCTGTTCACATGGCGAATTAGCTCCTCATTTATTTCAGTTATTTCTTATGTACCTTTAGTCCTGGGCTTCCTATTAAACCAGGGGGACCAGGATCTCCAGGTTCACCCTAAACATACAGGTGGGAAGGAAAACCAATCCGTTACTTTAATTTCACATTATCATTAGGCTGGAGATGCAATTGAAGAATGTCAAGAGATTACCTTCATTCCTTGTGATCCTATTAGACCAGGTTCTCCCTGTAAATAAAAATAATCACTGTATATGTAATGCTTAAATTTAGATAGAGATGAGCATCTCTAATAATGAATTTATTTGCATTTCCACTAATTAACATACAATAAAGGGGAAAATTATGGAAGACATGATGAAATCAAGGAGGTTTCATTCTAAACATGATTTAAAATACTTATTGCTAATAAATAAGCAAAAATTTATTTTATTTTTTTGTAAGTTTTCTTTTCCCTCAAAGACACTGTAGTCATCATGTTCCATTAGCAATCATTGCATTCTCCACTCAGCTGACGTTGCTACAATTTGCCACCTGCTAATCCTGTATCTCAGAGAATTAAAAGGTCAGATGAGGAAGTAAAGAAGAGTAGGATTGAAGTTGCTATGTCATAGTGACTCCATTATCAGATATATTTATTTGATAAAAAAAGAAACACACACACACACACACACACACACACACACACAAAATATAAAGGTTATACAAAAGACAATGATTTTGGCCATACTGAGTATGCTTTTATATTTTCCATGACTTATTATTGATCCTTTTGATAAAATTATCCTGTTTGATAAATCCAGTTTGTATCATTAAGAGAATTTAGGAAAAATCTGTATCTTGTATTTTAGATATCCTAAATGGGTATATTTCAAAACATTCATATTTGATCACAAATAGTAATGGGTTAAAAAAAAATACACACTACCCAAACCAGATGTTAAAGTGTCATCACATGATAAAATTTAACAAGGTTTAAAAGTTCTCATTTATCAAAATAAAAGTCTCAAAATACACAGAAGAAAAAGTAAAATGCTCAGGGACCTTATTTTATCAAATCTATTAGACTCGGACGTAAACATACCAGAAATCAGAGAAAGAAATCAATGAAGTAGAAAACCCAAGATAGTGATAAAACATCTACTTACTTTATCTCCCTTTTCACCTTTTGTAAAAGGTTCCCCCTAGGAAAATGTGTAGAAAACAGAATCAATTATAAATGCTTTTAGAAATAAACTCTCCAGAACTGAAAGTGGATATCCTGCAGGCCAACCCAGACCTCCACTACAAACACACCTCCGCTGTGATCCAGGAGTCACCCAGTGGCCTATGCAGTTTAAAGGGAGCATATGAGAATTAGTTAAAAAAATCCTTCATATTCCCAAATGAACAAATTAATCATTCTAATGCTATTTTGATAATCCTGAGTGGCTGACAAATGGAAATGCTGCTCATTTTGCATGGTCTACATAGAAGGTGATTACACACACAATTTCTCTTATCAGCTTCTGTTCCTGAAGTTCCATGTACATAATCTCATTTACTTACATCAATGCTGTGGGGAAGAAACTGTCTCATTTCAAGCATGAGGAAAGAGACTCAGTAAGGTTCTGAGTAACTAAGTTATTTGCCCTAAAATAGCATTCGCTCACTTCATGTTTCCTTATTTATCCTGCCTATGAATTCTGCAAATGTACAGATATAATTTATTTTGACTATGATAGAATCTCTGGTGAACACCATTGGTACCCAATAAAAGTTTAGTAAATTAGAGAATTTAAAGTTATGCAGATATTACAATAATAGCTAACATTTGTTAAATTCTTATAATATATCAAACACTGTTCTAATCACATTATATTAACATAGTTAATATTCATGTGTCAATGGAGTAGGTACTAATAATATACTCATTTAAAGATGAGGAAACTGAGGCACAGAAAAGTTAAGTCATTTCCCCAGGGTCACATAACAATCAAGAGGTCGTTCAGGATTTAAACCCAGGCAGCTTGACTTCAGTCCCAGGCTTTGGCTGCTCAGTTTGTTTGATTGTAATTTATTATTTGAATTAGGTGAATTGACAATTAGGGTAAATTTACAAAACATTTCTTTTGCCAGAGAATATGTGAAAACCATCACGCACTTCTCTCGAAGGTCCTCGTAGGGACTGTTATTCTCTTAAATCACTAATGAGAACTAAGTGGCTACTAAATGAACCTCTGTGATTCTCACCTCATGTCCTATGAGCTAGGGACTATGGGGCTCCCCTTCTCGCCCATATTTGCTAGCTCCCTTGCCGTTACATGGGACCCTGCAGTTCGTTTTGGCCTAAAATGCGAGCAGAAGCGACGTGGTACTTGCAGGCTAAGGTCGTGAAAACCCATTCACGATCCTCCAGTCCCACTCTTCTTGCAGTGGCGACAAGACGGTTGTGTACACCAGGACAGCTGGGCTGCATGGTGGTAACCAGCCTGGTGACTGAGCACGATGTGCAGTAGAACACCCACACCTCCCAGCAGAACCATGCTGGGCATACAGCATGGGCAGGAGGTAACCTTTCTCGGGTTAAGCCACAGAATTTCCAGGGTTAATTTGTTCCTCAGCGTAACCTCTCCTACTCTGACTTATATGCCCCATATCTAGCCAACATGATTACATCTTATTATTGGTTAACTTCTCACATTAGATCAGGGTTTTATTTATATTCTTACCTTTCAGCTCTAATTCGTAAAATATATTTGATTGTTGAGATAGGAGATGATGTTAATTAGATATAAGCAATGAGCCACACTGCTTATATAACAGCTCATTTCTGCATACATCACACTGCGTATATCACTGCTCATTTAGGGCTACTGTCAAGCCACATTGACTAAAGTAACTGTTTTAAAAAACACAAAAACTGTAACCTGCTTGTCTAGAGACGTGATGTTTAGTTCCAGCTTCAATGGCTACCATCTGGGCCTAGTCCCTTGCCTTTTAGAACTGCTCTTTGTCTGCAAAATCAGGGGATTCAACTAGACGATCTCTTAATGTATATTTTAGCTCTGATACGTTTAACATCTAGTCAAATTCTAAATGTCCAGTAGCGGGGGACAAGCTGCCATTCAGGACAGGTGGTTCAGAATTCTATGTGGCTGAGTGTTTTTTGGATGAATTGTTTGAGCCTTCTGGTTATTAGGCAAAGTCAGTGCAGATCCTGTTATGGAACAGACAGGTTGAGGCTACAAAGAGCTAAACTTCTCTGCATAATTAGGTAAAAAAATATGTGGTTTTGGTGGGGGGGGGCAGGGAGGACATAGGAGGTGTGATGATTCAGGGATCAAGAGGGAACTGGCAAGGAGATGAGTTAAAAGAAAAGGAGGTTGTTCGCCTGGGTAAGGTGGGCTGCCCCCAAATATTGGTGGTAGGAGGGAAAGCCAGAGGGGATCTCTGAGGAACTGTGAACCCCTCCAATCCTTGCTCCTCAAAGCATGATCCACGGACCGACAGCAGGGGCACCACTGAGAAGCTTGTGAGAAATGCAGTTTCTCAGGCCCCACCCCAGACCTGGTGAATTAGAACCAGCGTTTCAAAAGGGATCTCCAGGTGCTTCAGTGCCCCTTTGAGAAGCACTGCTCTAAACCCACTGGAAGCTTCTCCTTTCTGCTCTGCAAGTCCCTGCTTTTCCAGCAGAATTTTAGTGAATCTTACTGCCAGGCCTGCCATGTGTCCCGTGGAAATTAAGTGTCAGTGTCCAAGCTTGGAGGGGGAACTGGAGACCTAGGGAAGCAGTTAGGGGTTGGTAAGAGGTGGAGCATCAAGAGCGAGTTGGCAGATGGAAGGGGCAGCAACCCCCAGACTGGATTTGTGGAACTGGATGTGTTTCCCAGACGTTCATGGGAATACCCATTAGGGGACCTGTGTTAAACTGTTACTTCCTGCAGAGGCTGGAGGCAAGCAGGACCCCTGCAGGTAGGAGAACCCAGGGCACACGGGTGACAGGACACACTCTAAAGCTGCCTGAAAATTTACTGTCATTGCCAGAGATGCTCAATTTTTGAAGCTGAAGCACAGGGAACGTTTAGCTTTGTCATATTAAATACTTTTAACGATTGCTCCTGTTTGGCTTGCAGGCATTTTACTGCCTATTCATTCACTATCCCTGGTGAACCATACATACTCTTTGTTCATCCTGGCAAGGAAAGAGGTAAAAGCAATTTTTAACAAGTTTTACTTATTTATTTACAAAGAGGGAACATTTTGTTAAGTCTGATTCTTGCTGATTCATTTGAAGACTGCCATAGATTGTCTTTTGTTGTTTAACAGAAAAAAAAACCCTAGTATTTTTATAACTAGGATTCGTGTAATCTCTGTAGGTGGTCCTATTTCAATATAAAAGATACTATAGCCCCCCCCCCAATAACTACATTTTTAAAGAAAGTGGCCTCAGTAATATTGAAAAGCAGCTTGAGAAGCCTATTCTGTCTTACAAAAACCGAGAGCAGTTGGTTGAGCAAATAGATACATTTCTATTTTTTGAATAAATTAGCCCCACTCTTTAGATATGTTGATTTTATAATTCATTTTAGCTATAGTGTTTAGTTGTAGCAGGGCAGCTTAATGATTCTTAAGCCCTGGGTTCTAGAATCAGCCTACCTAAACGTGAGTCATGACTCCAACACTTACTAGCTGTGTAACCTTGAGCAAGTGATACTCTCTGTGTCTCAGTTTTCTCATCTGAACAAAGTGGGTGACAATATCCTATCTCAAATGTTTTTCTTTTAGTGGATTAAATTACTACAAGTAAAAGACTTAGTGTCCCCCATAGCTCACTTGCTTAAATATCTGCTCTATTGTTCTTCGCCATGGCAGGGGCAGCCAAGGTATATAGAAATGTGGCTAACTGGGAAAAATACTTCTAATTCTATATTTTGGATATTCTTTCTGTGCCCTACAAACTAAAATACTTACAGATTCTCCTTTTTGACCTTTAGGGCCAACAGACCCTGGAAATCCTGATTGTCCAGTTTCACCCTTTCAAGAAAAAGCAGAAGAGAGATTTTGCACGCGGTCAGATGAGTACTGTTGAGACTATTAGAGTGAGAGTAATTGCCTGTGCTGCTTCTCACCCCGGGATTGATCTATTATCCTCCGAGAGACAATGACAAGTTCTGAACGGAGTTAGGCTATTTGCATAGTAATATGTTTGTCAGCACTTCACAATGCCTTTAGGTCTCTTAGAAATCCATAATATTCACTATATTTAAAATTAATCTGAAACAAAAATTAATTATTTTTCAGGGAAAAAACTTCTAGAGGAGAAAAAAATTATAATTTTGCTCTGCTGTACATATATATATATATATATATATATATATATATATATTTGGTGATCTTAAAGACATCAGATTGTTTAACTGACCCAATAATCCAGACTCATTTTATTTCAGACATTTCTTTCTTTTTTTAGGTGGGGGGAGGTGGAAGGGTGGAGAGACATGAAAAAAATGAGTCTCTCAGATGTTTCCAGCATTTACATTGCCTCTTAAATGATTGGCTGTGGACAAACAAGGCATTTTTGTCAATGTGGTGACAGCAGCAGTTTAGAAATGTCTAAGATGTCTTAGATCTTGAAGAGGGATTTGTATGCAACATATAATGAGTACTGTGGAAAAATACAATTTTAGAAATAATACTTGTGGAAAGGAAATACATCACTAATCAGACTTCTTAGGAGTCCCAGCACTGTGCTACTTTTTACTGTCTACCAAAATCCTTGAATACCGTGTACTTGTCTATCATATAAACATAGCCACTAGAAGTTATTTAATGCTTTTTCCCCTTAACCTCAAGAGCACTTTTGCAAAATGATGTTTCTTGGCATCTACATTTCTCACCTGACTTGTCTATTTTTTATTAAAAAATAAAATACAGAAAACATAAAGTTGAATTATGTCAAATCTTCACGTCCCAGGCACCCGAAATTTATAAAAAAAAGAAAAAAACTTAAAATCAAAGAAATCTTCTATATTTCTCTCTCTATTCCTGTCCCAAAGGGAGCCACTATCTTGAATTTAGTACTCATATTTTTAGTCCATATTTTTGTATTTTTATTGCCTATGTGAAATCATAAACAATATATTATTCTGAATATTTAAAACAAAGTCCATAAATAGCTTTATCTTGTATATAACATTGTGACTTGTTTTTTCCACTCAACATTGTTTTTAATGTCCATTTCTATTGATACATATAGCTCTAGTTCACTCGTGTAAGCACTATATTATATTATGTTATATAATTCTAGCATTATATAATGTTAATGTACCAGGACTTATCTACACCCAATTTATCGGCATCTGGGTTGTCCCTAGGTTTTCTCTATTATAAACAAGGCTTCAATGAACATCTCTATATGTTTCCCCTTGTACGGATGTGTTTATCTGTTTATTTTGAAGTCTCAAACAATAGTCTACCCAAAGTACTTCAAGTACAAATTTATTAGAGGCCTGTAAATGTTGGCTTATTTCTACATTTCAAGTCAAATCAATTTCTTGTGATTTTTAGTTTAGAGGAAGAGGGAGCCTGGATAAATAAGCTCATGTTGGTTAAAAAAAATTTTTTTTTTCTTTATTGACTTTTAGAGATAGGAAAGGAGAGGGAGAGAGAGACAGAAACATTGATGAGAGAGAACATCAATTAGCTGCCTCCTGCACGCCCCCCACTGGGGATCGGGCTTACAACCTGGGCATGTGCCCTGACTGGGAATCAAACCAGTGACCTTTCGGTGCATGGGGTCGATGCTCAACCACTGAGCCACACCAGCTGGGCAGTAGGATCATGTTTTTATTAGGGAGTTTTCTGGATTTGTGGAATATATTTTGTGAATTTAATCTTGATTTTATTAATATAATTATTCTTCCTTCTAGTTTCTAAATATCTAGTATACCATTAACCTATACTTACCATAATGTGAGGAGAAGGTATTTTTTCCCCCTAAAGATAAAAAATTCTATTCAAAGTAAAAAGAGAGAGAAATTTGTGGGTACATTTAAGGGACCAACTGCTGTTGGTTTAAAAGAGGAAATAAACTCTTGGTCTTGTACGAGCATTGGGGTGTACAGTGTGACCATCCTGTTACCTATCTGGCAGGTGCTAAAATCCCCAGTGTACAGGAATGAAGGACAAAAGTGCTTAATAGCTAGACTCATCTGCAAAGAATAAAACTAGAATTCAGGGAAGGGGTCTAGAAATAAATATAAAAATCACATCTGCCCAGTACCAAATGGGAGGAAGGGATGTACATGGAAGAAGAGTAATTATACTTATAGCTCATATTCATTGAATTGATGTAAACAGGTTTCCATTGGAATGTAGGTGAAGGACCCAACAGAGTCTTCGCTACATCTCTGAGTGACACATTGGTGTGGTTGGATTTAGAAGTAAATTTAGGAACCAATTCCCTCATATGCAATTCTGGAAACAAAAGCATTTTATACCTGAATCTTAGACACATGTGGAATTGTTTTTCACATTTAAAATGGATGTTCAGTGATTTATCACTGTGGATATGAGTTGAAAGACAAGTGATGAATTAGCTTCAGGAAAGGCTGTCCCTTAATTTGATGCTTTGGATGCTATTTTAAAAACCTGGGCTTTTGTGGCTTTATCTTTTCTCTCTGACAGTCGGCCCCAAAAGACCACTGCTAATTTCTCAGGAGTCCTTACATATTCTGCCACCTTATTCCACTTCTCTATAAAGAAGCAGTTCTTCTCAACCAACTTACAAGCACAGTATTCCTTCACCACATTTAGTCAGCCTCAGGCGAGCCACGGAGCAGAGACCATCATTCCAATAACTGTTGGACATGTCACACGAATGCCATGGTCTCGTGGGCCTTAGTGTTTCTCCCTGTCCCATAGCTCTTGATGCAGGACGTGGCTGCTGAGCAGGGAGGGGTCTGTGGGTAGGTTCTATTGTTGGTGTGTCTGTTCTGGTGTGTCACTGGAATGTTGGGTTCCGAATGGCAGGCTGGTTTTGTGACGCTGTTTTGCCCGTCAACCTATTGAGAAGTGATGAGTTGTGTATGGGCTGAAATTGTACGTCTGGTTTAATCTTTTATTCTATGACATAAATTCAGTCTGTTCTCTGTCTAAATGACGGTGGGAGATGAAAAGATGAGCAAGACCAGGTGTTAAGGATACTAACTACTATTAACACCAGAAGGAAATATACCCATCTCACAAGAAGAAAGCAAGTTTAGGGGGGGATGAACAGAAAAGAACACATCTTTAGTGGGGGCCTAACAGGTGTCAGGTGTTGTGCTTTCAGGTAAATTCATATCATCTCATTTGATTTTTAATCCTGCCATCAACCTTGTGTAGACAAGATCATGCCCAGTTTACAAATAAAGAAACGGATACTCAGACAAATAAAGTGATTTTCCCAAGGAGACACAGCTGTTAGTGGCACAAACAAGTTTTGTCCCCAGAGATCATGCTCTTTCCACCACTCAATGGATCTCAGCCCTAGGGCTGCCTTTAGAATCATCTGCAGCATTTAAAAATGATAACGCTATGGAACCCACCCCAGACCAAACAGACGTGTGCCCCAGTTCAGAGTCTCTCCAGATGGAGCCTGAACAATGGTATTTTCTAAATCCCTCCAGGTGATGCCAGTATGCAGCCAGGGCTCAGAACGACCGGGCTCCACCACAGGTGCGAGCAAATCTGTGTGCGCCGATTGAAGAAGCCTTAAATTCTCACTATGGCAACCCTTGAACAGCATTCTAATTAAAAAGAAAACAAAAAACCAATGTATTGATTCAGAACAGTGGATGTTATATGGTAGAGGTGACGTCTCTTACAGCAAGTGCTAAGCTTAATGTTTTTTAGTTTATTTTATGTATTATTTATTGGCAGAGTCTTTCTCCTGTTAGTTGGAATTCTTACAAATTATTTCACATGTACATTTGCATCAGGTGGTGCATCAAGTCCCCTGCTGACTCCTCAAGGTAATTTCTTTGGGTGGGAGGAGGGGACAGACATGCCACTGGCTCTTCTAATTCCACTTAAGATTCTGAAGCAATTAGGAAAGATTCTGAGCAATACAAAAGGTCCTTAGAGTTTGAAATACACCTGTTTCACAGAATCAAATTTCTCATCATTGAGGTCTTAAGAATTTCCAAGTAACATATGTTTCCTAATGAACATTGCAAAACAGAAGCCAGCTGTTTTGTTTCAAGAAATGAATCATCATTTAAATACTTTAAAAAAATGCCACAACTCCCTTCTTTGCTCAGCTGTCTTATGTGACAAGCTCTGTGGCTTTCTTTTGCTTCCTCCAACCCCCACCCTTAGCTTGCAGGTGTCCAGTAGTAATTGCTTAGAATGTAATTGTTCTTTATGGTGGTGGAGGAATTCAGTAATCTATTTGGTTCCAGGAAATAGAACTAATGTACTAGCAGTACAATCCAAGATGCACAAATGACTTGTTATTGCTGTATAATAAATAGTTTTGGCTGTCTTTTTAAGAATGTCAAGGTTTTATTATTATTATTATTGCAGAAAATTTCATTTTCAGTGGTCAGTCGCTAAGAAGCTGTGACTTTCTGTTTAGACTATTTTTTAGCAGTAGTTTTTTGGTGAAGGATATATGATCTTGTGAATAGATTGGTTGCACTGATTTATAAGGCACGGAAGTCATATTTTCTTGGATTCATGTTGAAATTTCCTGCCCTCAATCACGAGATTTTTTACTGGGTGAATGAATAAAGGTAGCACTCACAGGCCACATTCCCTCAGAGTATTTTCAAACCTACTCATCTCTGTCTGTAGATTTAATGTGTATTGTTTTTTCCTGACAATGGCACATTCACACTGAATCCAAGGTCGTCACAATTTCAGAATCGAATGGGAGGGAAACACCGTTCTGAGTGAATCTGTTGTCTTCACAGTCAATATAATTAACCCTGGGAATGATGGTGAGAATGCATTGGACATTCATCAGCATTTTAATTTTAAAACTGTTTTGAAACAAGTATTTGGTTAAACCATGACCGTACATTATAAAACCATACCAAGAAAGGCTCCCAAGACAGGTTATGTGTGGACACTTAAGACACAAAAAGAGTGGGCCTGAGCCTGAGGCATTTTGTCAAAGGGTCTACAGATTGTTTTCACCACCTATAAGAACACATGAAGCATCTAATTATAAACTGAGGTTTGTGTCCTAATTTCATTGACCTTTTACAGGTATTTGCCCTTAATGTGTTCCCTTCCTTGTAGCAACTGCCACTGACCAGTCTTTAATGAGGAGCAGATTCCAACCCTGCGGCCTGGGTAGGAGGTGGGGGGAGGCTGCGCCTTTGGATTGCCTACGGGCGGTACCCCATGTGGCAGCAGCACCTCCCCTGACATGTGAATGTGTGACTTGGTCTAAAACCCTAGATGTTTTTATTCACTTTGAAAATCTGATTACCTTCTCTCCTTTTGGGCCATCAGCTCCGTGTTCACCAAAGTGTCCCTAGGTAAACATAAAACAAAAAAACATACAAAATATTCATTTATTTTTAATACACTCAATCTCTACTTAAAAAATATAGGTAACATTACTGTTAACAGTTTCCTATAGATACCATTTTAATCACTTTTGCCTCTCTCACCTTCCATAAACTATTCCTGAAAAATTCCAACTGTGGGTATCCTATTTTCTCTGTGATGTCCCCCTGGGAAATGATTCTGGAGAAACATCATCCCTCCATGGGAAAATTGTCACTACTCCAAAATAATGCCTTGAAACCTCACATGGTCCTCAACCATTCCACAGACATGCCTCTCTAATGTTACTAGCAACATCTTTGCTGCTCAGTATAATGGGCATTGTTAACTGACCTCGTGGCTGAACTCGCCACTCTCTTGACTTGTCCAATTCCTCACCCTCCTAGTTTCTTCCTGTCTCTCTGACCACTTCTCCTCTTTCCCCACCTTACTGGTGAAGTCTGAACTTCCCCAGGGCTCTGTGCAGGCTCTCTCCTCTTGTGACTCAACGTTTTCTCCCTGGCTACCGCCATGGTTTAAGTATCATCACCATACAAAGACATCTCCTTTCTGAGCTTTGACTCATACCTAAGTTTCTACTGGGTGTATTCACTTGTAAATTTTAGAAGAAATTAATACTCAGCCATTTCAAAACTGAATTAAAAAATACAACAAACACACACATACATCTATGAGAGAGAAATATGTAAGAATTATATCATTCTGTTAACATTTGTTAACCCAGAAGTGCGAGAATGGTTAACTTCTTCCTAGTGGAAGTCTTCAGTTTGACTTGTTAAAATGAATGGCAATTTCCTTTTACAATTGGAAAAAATCAAGGAAAGAGATGAAATCTGAATTCATCTTCTCCCTTCCACAGAATGCTTCCTTCTTCAGTCTGGGTGTCTTTCTTAACAGCTCCCTCTTTGTTCCTCCGGGACAATCAGTCTGACTACCTCAGTTTCCATAACCTCTTCTCCTCACACTACCTGCCTTCACTCTGGGAAGGCCACCATCGTGTCTGCCAGGATCACTCCAGTAGTTCTCTCGTTGGCCCTCCACAATCCGCTCTTGCTCCCCCCACTTCCACACATTCTCTAAATAAGACTAGAGTGAGATCTTTAAAAGAAATTCTAACTTCATTCCTTCTAAACCTCAACAAAACCATCACAACCCTGCATGACCTGAACTCATTTTCCTCTCCAGCATCATCTTGGCAACTCTTCTCCCTCAGAAGTCCCAGCTGTAATAGCCTTCTCTCCAGTTCTCAAAGGGACCAAGATCTTTTCCATTTCACCCTCCAGATCACCCCTCTGCCCTCGCGCTTCGTCTGGCTAGCAACACTCCCCCTCAGGTCGCAGCTATTACAAAATGCCACTCACGCAAGGCCCTGTGGGTCTCCCAGGCAGGCTGCCCTTTCAATACCTTCTCATTGGACACTGTATTTTCCCTTCATAGTACTAACATTTTTAGTTTTGTGTTTGTTTCAAAAATTGTACCTCTAGCACTAGAATATAAGCTCCAGGATGACCTGGGATTAAATACTAACCCCCTGCCTAGGGTAGTACCTAGCATATAGGAAACATTTGATAAAATAAATAAGCAAGTAAATTTACGTGTTTTTCCAAATAAAGTTTTAAAAATTAAAAATACATGTGATGGTAGAATAAAAGTATAAAAATGTTTAAACAACAATAAAAAACAACAAAGGTTCCCAGTCATCAGTGTTGCTGTAGTTTAGCATGTTCAACGTGCCTTCCATGCTACTCCAATGAAAAATGTGTAGTTTATAACTGCTGTTATCAGTGGTCTTGAGACAGATATTCTCTCATTTTTCCTATTTAACATTGATCTGAGATGTCTAAACTGAAAACAAAAATTATATTCTCAAAGTTCTGAGCTATAAATTAGCACAAGAAAAATGAGGTATGAAACTCAGGCATATACCTGCATACATACAGAATTAGCACTTATAAAATGTGAGGTTGCTTGGATGCAACCTGCACAGAAACATATACATTTTAGGCATTTCCTGAACATACTAGCCATTTGGAGACGGTGCCAATCTATGTGCACAACTCATCAGTGTCTCTCCCTGGCTGTACTTATGCCAGGACATTTTGGGGGGAGCTGGAACAGGCCTTGATTTAAGATATGAGTTGTTCAGAGATGGTAGTTGGATTGGGTGGCCCCAAGCTCTTGGCTTGCAAGGCAGAAAAGCACCCAAAGTACATCTGTGAGTGTATATCACAGTGTAGCACCTTAATTTAGATCCCCCTCCCCAACAATCTAGGGGATGTCAGAGATGCTGTGGTTGGAATAAAGAAATGCCTCTTCAGCAGTAAGTCATATTGTTTTGTCCAGATGTATTGCTATTCAAAAATTTTGATTTTTCAGGTGGCTTTCACACCCAGAAAAACAATAGGGCCAATTGCTGCCTAGAAGAACATGAAATGTTTGCTTCATTCAATAACCCAGCCAGAAAATCTATCTAATTAAGGGCCCTCATGGCCTGGATAAGTGTTTTCCACTCTTGGACTAACAATACTCAAGGCAGATTCAAACTTGAACTTCAGTAGCATTCATTCATTGACATGTGAGATTTTCCTTGCTACTTTCTCCACGCTAACTGCACCAGATGATTACTTGGTTCTACAGAAATAATAGAACATATTATTATTACTGTGAAATAATAAGACATATTATTATTGTGTTTCTGGAACCTGTAGTTCTGCTTCAGATAATATTTTAAATTTTTTAGGTCATCTTGCACCATGGTGCCATGTTCTTTGAATGCATTCTCATAAGACTTTTGAATAAATATAATAGCTGTACAGTTTTGAATGTGTTTATTTGAAAGTTCCTGGTGAAGTGGTGAGGGCTGTGGTGTGGGGAGTGCTAACTGGCCTGCCCATTTCAAGAATTCTGGAATACCAGAGCATGTCCTTTGTTCTCCGTGGGTCACAGTGAATGGAACTTTGAAACTTACACTCAGGTAAGTGGGGGGACGTGCACAGGTGCAACCCTAAGAGATGGCCATTTTTACAGGCTCTAAAGAGTCAAATATCAGCAATTTTCTGTAGCTCAATATAATAAGAAAGACCCAGGACATGAACCTCCCCTCCCAGGACATGAGATCATTAAAAAGAAACTCAGTTTAGCCCTTGGGGAACTTGCTGTGAAATCCTAAGCATGCGGGAACATGACGCTAAACAACCAGATGGTCTACGATGGATTGAATTGTGTCCCTCCTCACAATTCATATGTTAAAGTTTTAATCCCCAGTATTTCTCAGTGTGAGCTTATTTAGAAATAAGTTCCTTGCATATGTAATTAATTAAGATAAAGTAATACTAGAGTAGGGTGGACCCCTAATGCAATATGACTGTGTCCTTGTAAGAACAAACTGAACCAGAGACACGCACACAGGGAGAACGCCGTGTGAAGATGGGAATTATGCTGCCACAAGCCAGGGAACCACTAGAAGCCAGGATGGAGGCCTGGAACACATCCCTCCCTACACTCTCTGAGAGAGCAGGACCATTCTGACACCTTCGCCTTGTACTGCAGCCTCCAGAACTGTGAGACGATGCATTTCTGATGTTTAAGCCCTCAGCTTGTGGTATTTTGTTAAAGTAGCCCTAGCAAGTTAAAATATAACATGATCTAAGAGGTCTGGGTTCTCTTGAAAGTAAGACCTAAATCTGGCTCCAAGTCCAATGTCCCAGTTACTTGCAGGAAACCATTTCACCAGCTCTAAGTGTGGTGGGCCACAGCAGGGATGGGGAGAACCAGGAGAGTTTCAGGGTTCTCTGTAATAAACCTAGGATCCAAAACTAAGATACATCTGTGCCTCAATTCCTGATGTTCCCCAAAACTAGTGGGTCCTGGGGTATGGGGAGAGACAGGAAGTTAGGACTTAAATTTTGTTTCTCAATCTTCTGAGCCCAGAGGGTTGCTGCAGTGATCCCCAAGGGAGCCTTCACTCCACTGTCACTGGGTTCAACTTACGGCTTAGAAATGTTTGATTGTGGAGAAAGGTTTTCTGTCCTTTCTAGTCTTTGAATGTTAAAATGAAGTTAGGACTTGATACTTGAAAGGAAAAGTAGATTATTTTGCTAGCAAATTGTTGTGTTTTGTTTTTGATCAACAATTTGGAGAACTGAACACGAATTGGTTGCTGGGGGGCACAGCATCAATCTCCAACAACAGACTGATTCTTTGCACATTTCACTGGGTGTGGTGATGGGAGATAGCACAACTATGCATTTTCAATGTGGATCTTTAAAAACAGCATCAAATGTAGAATATGCCAGTCCTTGGCCTCCACAGATAACATTTTATCCCCCATCGACAATGTAAGGGGCTCTGGAGCTGATGGCTTTAGCAGTTGACAGAGCCTATCAAATTCTTATTAAAATCTCCAGAGCTGGAGACAATGAACAGCAGTTTGCTGGTGAGTGAGCAGATTTTCCTTAAGGGAAAGAATATGTTCAGCATTGCTGCTTCTTTGCAAACAACCTTGCAGAATGGGTGCAGCTGTTCTGCAAATTATTTTTGTGATGGAGAGGGACATCTTCTACCTTTTGTTCTTTGCCTCAAGTGGGCATGAAAAATACATACAAACACACTTGGATAATCTTCCCGACCTTAGTTTCTCTCTCTATTCCTCACTTCCTTTTTTTTTCTTCCTCATTCGCTTATTGATTTGTGCTGCAGGGGAGAAGGTCTTTAGGCCTGACCTTCTCCCTCTGGTGACATAAAAAAAATTGTAGGGGAAAAAACCAGCTCTTGTAGAAGGACCGAAGGACAGTTCCTTTGCCTTTGAGGATTCCTGGGCTAGGGAATGACCATGGGCTCTGTCGGTTTAGAAGAAGGGGTGTGTGTCTGAGTAGCTGCTGCTGTTCCTCCCGAGGGTCACTGCTTCAGCTGGCTGCTCTACCACTGAGGAGCCGAGGTTCAGGACTCCGGAGCAGACGTTACATAAATCAAAGCCAATTTACAAGGGAAGATTATTTTAACCTTGGAATGTCACTTTTGTATCTCAATATATGGTCCATTATTTAACCTCCAGGAAAGTTGCACTCTGTCCCGCCCCCACTCTCTCTGTGCTCGTTTGCTACAGCCAGACCATCCTGCAGGCAATGAATTGCAAAATGAAACAACCTCAGTCTCCAAGAATAGGTGGGGGTATGGGGGTGGTACCGCCAAGTAAAAACATGCATCTCGCTCATCATGGCACATTTGGCCCGTTCCTCTGTGAAGCTGATGGTGAGGAGAGGGCGGTTACCCTTCAGAAACATTGGTCAGTGTAGGTACTGGGATGTTGGACCTTGCCTTCTCTGCCCATCCTGGTAGGACCTCAATCTAACAGCTCTAACTTTTTGCAGAAAGAGTAAAGTGTGTGGGAAGTGACCTTGAGTTAATTCCTATGTGGGTCTACAGCCTTCTGATGCTAAGCACGCATAATGCATCATTTGGGGAAGAAAAGCTATGGTCTCTGTCCTACCCAGGGGTGCTCCTGCCCCACAGCCCCACTGTGAGCACGTGTGGACTGAGCACCTGGGAGCCTCTATCCGGTCATGGTGATGCGGTAGCTGGGCTTCTTTCAGCTGAGTCAATTAGCTAAGCTCGAAGTACTGGCTCGCTTTTGGCCCTGGCTGGGTAGCTCAGTTGGTTAGAGCATCACCCTCATACCCCAAGGTTGTGGTTTAATTTTTGGTCAGGGCACATAAAAGAATCAACCAATGAATGCATAAATAAGTGGAACAACAAATTGATGTTTCTCTCTCTCTCTAAAAATTAATAATAGTAGTAAAAATACTGGTTTGCTATCAGCAAGACTCTCGGTTCACCTGCTTTTGGATACATAACCTTAAAGTTAAAAAATTTACATTCCCAACTTTAGACTAAAATATACATGCTCCATATATCTTCATTTAAGGGAAAACTGACTCATCGGCAAGATAAACTATATATATAAGCAGTGTTAAGAGACCTGTAAAAATAGGAGCTTTAAAAGTTTTGCAAGGGATAGCAAATATTTAAGTAGCTGAGTCGCAACTTGGTAAATTTTACACCAAGAATGAAAGTAATATAGTGTATTCTTTAAGTCTTTCTAGCTGACACTGTGACATCAGCGCCAACTCATTCTCATCACTTTGAAGCATGTATGCTAAGTCCTATTTTGTAATAGATGTCATTGCAAAAAATAATTGTATTTTTATTAATTTTAGACATGCTTCACATACTTTTTGTCACCTCTGCCAAGCCCTCATGTTTTGAAAAAGCTAGTATAGATCTCTTCAGAGAATGTTTAATTATACCCCAAACACTATTCCAAATACAATTCTCCCTGGAAAATCTAAGTAAATGAGAAAATTTAAGATAGGTTTATGTAGGAAGTGTAACAAACTTTCCATACTCTTGACTTTAAATTCATCAGCCACAAAGGATCTAGGTCTTTATGTTGAACTTAATCTGATGAAAGAAGAATTGGGATTTTAAAACTGAATTAGCTCGTCATATAATAAATACTTTTCAGAGCACCTGCTATCTTTAAGGTCTCTGCTGGCACATAATGTCTCTCTGGGATTTCTAAACCAAAATGAATAGCAGTAGTCAGGAATTAATTGGAAGAGAAAGCAAAACCATAGAGGAGTGTCTCCGAATTTGGTTCTGTGCAGTGGCACAATGACCCACCAGCCGTATCAGTGATAAGCTACTATGTATACAAGGGGCCCTCAGGGGACAGAGTGCCTCACACCAAGTGATCGGACTCTAGATATTTATTACTGAATGATGATGAGTCTATCAATGGTCTCACGTAGGTCTCTGAGTCTTACTTCACTGCCAACACCTGTTCCTCTCCCTTGGTTGTGCTTCCTTGGGGAATAAGAAGCAAAACTGTCTTGCCATTTGCCTCTCAGCTACTTTCGTGTCAGAATCCCATCCTAACTGGAACATAAAAACCTTGGGGAAGTTCAAAGTGGCTCCTCCATGGAAGGCAGGGGAGCCCCAGTTTTGCCCTATGGGGTATAAATATTTGCTTGTGATTTTAGTGTAGTACCTATTGGTTTTGATAAGAAATCTATCAGCCATTATGTTACCCAGAGCTTCAAGGTAGCAAATAATCTCTTTCTGCCCTCAGAGAAACTAGATATATGACATTATCAGTGGTGAAATATGATTTTTGCATTAATTGTTTGCATGAAATTTTTTAAATTTTGAAGTAAAAATTTTTTTCCTTATAAAGATAATATCCTGGTTTTTTAAAAAAACATACTGAGCAAAGGCTTTTTTTGGGAAATATTTTCAATATGGAAAGCTGTTAAGAATGTGATCATGTTTCAAAGTCTGAGCAGTTAGGCATTAATGAGGTCCCCCACCGCCCCCAAAATATGATCACATAGCCCTGGCTGGGTGGTTCAGTTGGTTGCAGCATTGTCCCTTCCACCAAAAGACGGTGGTTTTGATTCCCAGTCAGGGCACACACCTGGACTGTGGGGTCGATCCCTGGGTTGGGGTGCGTACAGGAGGCAACAGATTGATGTTTCTCTCTCACATATTTCTCTCTCTCTCTCCCCCTCTGTCTTTAAAAATCAATGAAAACATATCCCCGGGTAAGGATTAAAAAATATGATCACATAAAATATCTGTATATATAATATGTGGGGAACAAAAGGCCCTACCTTGTTATAATATCCACCAAGAGTCTGATGTATTCCTTGTGTTCCAGGAGGTCCCTGTATTAGAAATAAATCAGAATAAAAACCTAAACTTTTACCAAACAATGTGAATTTAAATAATGTATCTAAGAACTCTTACAATCTTAGTTAAGAAAAAGGGAGAGTCTGTTTAGTCAAATCTTTCTTACGAGAGAATTGCAGGGGCATTAACTCATCAGGTTCCTACAGGTATGTCTTAGTGACATCCTGCAAGGGTCCAGAGAGGTCCTTACGGGGAACATGCAACATTTTACCAGAAGGTCAGCCATCAGCATATTCTTTATGAAAAGGAATTGTACCCTTAACACTCCTTGCGGGAAGAGGTTTTAGCTCCGGTTTATTTTTGACACTTCTCACGGGGCTTTGATCAATGTGTTACAGAAATGTGCAGCCACGTGTTATTAACCTAGAACGTGTAGAAAATATATGCTTTCTAGTGCTTTACTCATTTGAATTAGGTGAATATGGGCTGCACACGACTTTCAGGCCAGAAAAAGATGTCTGCTCCAAGACCTAGGACTTAAGATATTTAAATACTCATACTTTGCAGGTTACATGGAAATATTTGCTAAGTCCTATGCTGAGCTCTGGGGAGACAGGAAAGATGTAAGGGCATTTTCCCCCCTAAAACTTTCAAAAAGAGAGAAAGAGAAGAGTTTTCCAAATTTTTCAGGGATTATACCTTGGGGAGAGGGCCATGAAACAATACAAAGCTTAGCATTGCTTGAAATCAAGTAGTTGAAGCTGAGAGAGAGAGTCATTTCTAAAAAAGATCGCATATTTGATCTAGAGCTCGCAAGAGCCCAGGAGAAAATATTATAGAGGCAAAATTCTTTACATTTTACCTCAGAAGGTAAGACAAAGAAAGATTATGACTGAGTATATCAAACATTACTATTGTGCTAAAATTATTATTTTTAAGAAGGTAATGAAAGCTTTAAAAAGGGGAGAAACATTTTAAGGAACCACCGTCAGCTTCCCTCACTGATCTAGGTACCATGCTGGAAAAGTTAACGTTTGACATTCGTGGCTGGTATTTCTTATGAACAACCTGTGACTACAGATCTCTTCCAATATCAGACCTTTGCATCGCGCCACTAATGTAGAGGACACAGAGAGGTAGGCGCGGATGTCAGGAAGCAGGTTGCTATAGCTCTTAAGAAAATAATAGGCCTCCTGAGTAACGGGGACGCCTGTGATTGGAAAGACAAATGATGCTGTTACCTTGCTGAAGTAAAAACCAAGCCAATGTCAGAAAAGAACTCTCGTTGCATTATATATTGTTCATGATTTTTTTCCACCAGCCAGCTTTGTGTGAAGTGTCCTAGGCCAGTTAGAGGAAGTAATGAGGAAAGCAATCGCTGAGTTGGAGGCTATTGTGCAAAGTTTCCAGCCATGAAGATGCAGGTTAAAAACTCATCCTTGAAAGTCATGAGACACGAGATTCCATACACATGGATCCGTCTGCAATTATCTCATGAGGTGAGAAATTTTAGACACCACACGTAGTGTCATTAAAAGGTAGCTTAGGAATATAGGCATAGTAAGTGCTTGGTAAATGGTGAATGTGTGTTAACAATGACAATTAGATGAAAGAATAGTGATGTGGTGGGTAAGTGTAGCTTTATACACATTCATTCTAGTTAAAATGAAGAGTCTCATAATTAGGGATCCCAAACATGACAGAACAATTAACAATACAGTCTCTCAAATAGAGCAGAAGAAGCAATCAAATAAGTTCAGCAAATATATAGTGTTTATTGTATGCCAGGTATTATGCCAGGGCTTTATATGGATTAATTTATTTAATCCCCACAGGGATACCATGAGATCTGTACCATCATTCTTTCCAATTCAACAGTAGAGAAAATGAGGCTTAGAAATTGTTAACTGGCCCAAGGTCACACCACTGGTAAGTTTGGACATATTTAACTCAGGCAGCCTGTGTCCAAACTCAGCTCTCATCTACTCTACCATCTTAACCTAAAAGCATACTGTCAGCCTAAAATAATTTCTGTAGTAATTTAAAAAAATTCATGCTGACCGTGTCCTTGAGAATACTGGGTGATCATTCTCCCATGTTCTACTCCCCATACTGAAATTGAAAAAAAAAAAAAAATCAACAAAACTTGTCCTCAGCACTTCTCATGAGCCAGTACTGTGCTCAAGGCAGGAGGGGGAGACAGGCACTTTGCCCATAGATGGGGTCCCCCTGGACAGCTGACAGAGCCTCCCCGTCTATTCCTTGCATCTCTAGTCTAGTTGCATCCACTCGCTCAAGACACGATAGGAAGATGATGCCTGAATATTACAAAAAGCTCCTCTCAATCTACAACAGTACTAAGAACGTATCCTGTCTTTGTTTGCAGAGGGTAGGAAAGCAGGTAGTCAAAGAATATAAGACGTGGGAACCCTCAGAGGGGCTCTGGAAGGGAGTAAGGAAAAAGAAGCAGAGCCGCAAATGTGTGATAGGGGTTGCCTGGCCCAGAGCCCTTGACAGTGTGGCTGAAAATAGTAAAAATAACAGGATGGTGCTACTTAATTTTAAAAAAATTAAGTGGGAATTGGATCTGACCTTTTACTTTTTGGTTAATCCTCACCTGAGGATATTGTTTCCATTGAATTTTAGAGACAATGAAAGGGAAGGAGAGAGGGAAGGAGGAGAGAGAGGGAATCACTGATGTGAGAGAGACACCTCCATTGGTTGCCCCCGCATGTGCTCGGCAGGGGGCCAGTCAGGGATGGAAACTGCAACCCCAGTATGTGCCCTTGATTGGGAATTGAACCCGAGACCCTTTGGGGCATAGACTGATGCTCTAACCATTGAACACACCGACCAGGGCTAGGCCTGACCTTCTGTATACTGGATATCTGCCTATGGCATATAGGTATATTCCATAGACACAGAATATAGTCCTCATCCAGAATCCTGATTTTGCTGTTGAGTTTTCCACCGAGGTAGAATAGGAGAGCTCAGTGCAGCTCCTCTCTCTAAGAACAATAGCAAGAGCTTAGCTCACTGAACAGAGCCACTGGCCAATAGAAAAGTTTGAACAACATTATTCAGATATCCACAAGATTAATAAACCCTATAAAAGTTACTGCCACATTTTCATATGTTCTGTTCTTGCCATAAAATGTCATATCCACAAAGCAGTGCTCCAAATGGGGTCAATCTGAAATTTTAGGCTCTACTGCTTAATCCACTGATGAGCATTTATGATGACATTTTTCTGCCTTGTTCTTTTAGTCACTGGGATGCTGTGGGTACCACAAATTTCAAGTTTAATATAACAGATTTTATAGCTAACAGTCTACCCTGCAGGCAATACTTTACACAAACTCTCCCAGAGGGCTGAAGAAACCCTGCAGCGACCGAAAGAAGATGCCACTACAGAGTCCTCGCGCTGTCTACCTGTACACTGACTGCAGTCTGTGTATACACGGACTCACTGGGTTGTTCTCAAACTGTCAGAAGCAAACAACCTCAATCAATGTGGAGATAGTGACCACAGAGAAACACTATGCACATACATGCCAAGAGCAACTCTGTTTCCTGTTAGAAAAACAATCCAGACCCTAGGGTCTTGGAACTGGAGGATGTCCTATTAGCCACCTTCCCCAAGAGATGTGCTATTTTTCTATTTCCTCTTCTGGCCCAAAGGCAAGGTTGGAGAAGATCCAAGGAGTCATTTGTTCCCTAGTTTAGCAAGAGCTCAGTCTTGTAGACTATCAATCAATTCTGAGGAAGGAGAAGCTAAAGACTTGTGATAAGTGACAAGTCTCCTGGCATTACACAGTTTTAGCAAATGCTCCAGGGCACTCAAGGGGTCATTTTCTCTGAGGTTTGCAATTATAAGCACTCGTCAAAAAGATGCATAGATGACCCAGGCTGAGGGGAGAAGAGAGGCCAGTTATGGAGGGCACATTAGCCTTAACTAATGCTCTCAGAAGTTCTAGTAGGAAAACTATTTGAAGGTTTATAGGAAGGAAAAATGTCCCAAACCTTGCTCATGATAGTGACTGGCAACACAGAGATACAGAACTCAGGCCTGTGTAGGGCCTATCTTTTATGCAGTTCTACTTCACTCTATTTGTATTGGGTTGGGAGACACAGGCCATCTAGGTTAATGTGACAGGTACAGCTTTAAAGTGCTCATGCACTCCAGGAAGACATACCTGTTCAAAATCCAACTGTACTTAGGTATAATTATCTGAGAGGTCTATAAACTTGGCATGGCTAGAGACCCTGATGTTATTTTCTTTTGCAAAGAACCATATTAGTATGGAGAAGTGAATTAAAGTTACATTCAGTTTGGGAGTATATATGCTCAGCAATAGTTTAAGAAGTTTTTTTTTTTTTTCTTTTTTGCTAAAATCTTGCTAGATTTTAGAAAATAGAGAGAATATGAAAATAGAGAAATATGATGTCTGCCCCCAGCGTCATCAGATGGGCAGTGTGAAAATGAGCAGTTTCTTGCATTATCCTCCCCTTAGTAGATTTCAGTCTGGGCTACAGGTTCCCTTACATTTAAAAGTTCGAAAGCGTTCTTGGTTAGAAACCATATGTCTCAGGCCTGGTCCTGGCTGCATTTTTTTTTTTTTTTAATCTTCACCCTAGGACATTTTTCCATATTTTGTTCAGGAAGAGTGGGAGGGGGAGAGAGAGAGAGAAACATCGATGCGAAAGGGACACATCGAGTGGCTGTCACCCGCATGACCAAGCAGGGCCAGGGACAGACTGCAACCGAGGCATGCGCCCTTAGCGGGAACCGAACCCGGGTCCCTCTGGACCGCAGGCCGACGCTCCAACCGCTGAGCCAAACTGGCCAGGGCCTGGCTGCATTTTTGTTGCCAGCCAGCTGATGTAGCTCACTTAGCTCAAAGAACTCAACTTTTGCACCACCACCCCCTTCCCTGTTCTTAGCTGAAAACTCTCTGTGCCAGTTAAGGTTTGGGTCCTGTGATTCAACTTTTTCACACCCTAGATATTCTGAATCAAGATCTCCATGGCTCCT